GTGGCCAAGGCTTACCAGGATCGCTGTGAGTGACCCCCCATCCTTCTGTGGTCAGTGTCACTTGCCCAAGGCCTTCTGAGGCCTAGAGCCCAGAACCACTGCAAACCCAGCCCTCTCCCTTCTGCCCACTTGAATTTGCTCCATTTACATATAGCACACGCCTGGGTTCCCAGCTTGTTTCCATTGCTTTCCCAGATCAGGACCTGGGGGGCCACTGTTCTGCCAGGAAATGTCTGGCCAAACAGAAGCAGAGGATGCTGGAAGAGAGAAGAGCTGCAAAAGCAGCCGCTGCTGCCACCTCCTGAGGCAGCTGTGGGTGCCCCGCCACGCGGCGCTGTGTGATTGCGCTATTGCCGAAATAAACCCTTCAACCAGTGTTTCTAGTGTGATCTCTTGTCCCGACCTTCTGGATTCAAACCACCACTAAACATGCAGGACACAGGAAAAATACAATGTTAATTCACTTTATTTTTCTTGTATAAAAACCCTATGTTGTAGCCACAGCTGGAGCTTGGGTTCTCTGCACGGAGACTCTGGTGTGGGTCTTGACAAGGTGGTCAGTGAATTCCTAAAACACAAGATGTGACCTTGTTGGGGCCTGTGCTTGTCTAGGCAGTGGCCAGCCCCGCCCCGCCCCACCGGGCAGGCCCAGTACCTGATAGGGAGACTTGGTGAACACTGTCTCCTTCCAGAGATCGGGGGTCAGGTAGCTGTAAGTCTTAGAGATGGCATCAAAGGTGGCCTTGGCTGGACAACAAAAGAACCCCAGGAAGGTCAATGGTGTGCTTGAGGCAAGACCCCCAACCCAAAAACTGTCACACTCCTAGGAACAGAGAGGCCATTCTGGGCGGGTCTGTCGTGCATTAAGAGAGCCTTTCTCTGCCTCCCTGAAAACACGCCAAGCACACACTGACCCGTGTGATTAAGCGGAGCTGAGAGGCTGTGGCTGTGCCCATGCATGGGTCACCTACCAAAGTTGCCCAAGGTGGCAGTGCAGCCCCTAGCTGAGGTGTAGCAGTCATCGATACCAGCCATCATAAGCAGCTTCTTAGGCACAGGTGCTGAGACGATGCCAGTACCCCTGGGCGCGGGGATGAGACGCACCAGCACAGAACCACAGCGGCCTGTCACCTGGTGAGGGCAGGAGTCAGGAGACAAGGGCCCGAGGGGAGCCTGCCCCATGGCAGGCCCACCACCTCCCACCAGCGTACCTTGCAAGGGACAGTGTGGGGCTTGCCGATCTTGTTCCCCCAGTAGCCTCTGCGCACAGGGACAATGGAGAGCTTGGCCAGGATGATGGCCCCACGGATGGCAGTGGCCACCTCCTTGGAACACTTAACACCCAGACCGACGTGACCATTGTAATCCCCAATAGCAACAAATGCCTGTGGAGAGACATGTATGAGGCGGCTGGTGGCCCCACACCCATCATGGCCCACACCCCAGGGCCTGTTGCGCCCCTCAAGTAAAGAGGGGCCACAGTAAGGCCCATCTGAGGTCCTGAGGAGATCTTTTCTGTCTCTCCCCATTACGAAAGTCACACGGGTGAAGCCAAGTGCAACTACGCAGAGCTGGGAGAGGCCCCACAAGCCAAGTCCAGCCCAGCCCAGCCCTCTCCGGGACAGCTGAGTACCTTGAACCTGGTGCGCTGGCCAGCACGGGTCTGCTTCTGCACCGGCATAATCTTCAAAACCTCATCCTTGAGAGAGGCCCCCAGGAAAAAGTCAATGATTTCAGATTCCTGCAACAAACAGAATTATGGAGAGCGCCTTAAAAAAAAATTCACCACCACCATCCCATTCAAGAACCAAAGTCACAGCCAGGTGCACTGGCTTACACCTGTAATCCCAGCTACTCGAGGCTGAGGTTGGGGTGACCCGAGATCACACCACTGCACTCCAGCCTAGACAACAAGGCAAGACTCTGCCTCACAAAGGAGGAAACAAACAAACAAACAAACAAAAAAAACCCAAGTCATGAACCCTCAACCTGGGTTCCTTCTCCCCTTGGTTTTGGCAGTTTTATTGGAAGCTTATATATGTAAATTTAAGGTTACTGTAACCCTACATTTCCTCAGTCGTTTCTCTTTGTCCTTTTCCCACTTGTTTGATGAGATGTGGCTTTTCTTTTTTTATTAGACAGAGATTCACTCGTTACCCAGGATGGAGTGCAATGGCGGGATCTCGGCTCACCGCAACCTCCTCCTCCTGGGTTCAGGCAATTCTCCTGCCTCAGCCTCCTGAGTAGCTGGGATTACAGGCACGCGCCACCGTGCCCAGCTAATTTTTTGTATTTTGAGTAGAGACGGGGTTTCACCATGTTTACCAGGATGGTCTCGATCTCTTGACCTTGTGATCCACCCGCCTCGGCCTCTCAAAGTGCTGGGATTACAGGCTTGAGCCACCGAGCCCGGCCGAGATGTGGCTTTTCACTGTTTCCTTTTACTTCGTCCAAGCCACGGCTACCGTACCTTGCTGGAGCGAACGCTCACATGGCAACTGTGCCATTAACCTTTCCCCACTGCACCTGCTGCACGTGGATGACAGCTGTCCCGTACACACGAACTATACCAATTTGCTAACCCTTAATGTCCTCCCACAACCTGAATGTCACCCTCTTGGATGGCATGAATCGAACACTGACAACTGACACTGTGTTTGTCTCAGCTCTTCAAGAAAAACGGGAAACAATCTCGCAGCCAATATGAGAAAATGCGCTGAAACGGTTTTGGTGGCTCTTGCTTCGCTCAGGTATCCATCCAGCCTTCTCTCCAACCGGAATCCTCTCTCAGCCAGCTCACATCACAACCACAACCTCTCAAACGAGACGCTGGGCCCTTTGATGCGGGTCAATGGCAGATGTCAACCCTCCAACCCCAGCTGACTCCGGGGTCACCTGTTGACACCCCAACGACCGACGAGTACCTTGATGGGCAGAGAGAAAAGATAGATCTCCTCCAGAGATTTAATCTTCATGTCTTTGACCAGGCGGCCCAACTTGGTGACAGGCATCCACTGGAAACAGAAAAGGCGCGGGTGACCAGGGCGGCTCCCCGGCGTCGCCCAAGGGCCCGACCCCGCGCGTAGCTAGTACCTACTTCCTTATCCTCGGCTTTGCCTCCGCGAGCTCCGCGGCCTCGGCCCCGGCCCCGTCCACGGCCGCGACCCCGGCCCCGGATGCCACTGCCAAAACCTCCGCGGAAGCCACCGCGGTTCCCCATCCCGGGGCCCCCGGGGCCTCCGGGCGCCCCCGCTGCACCGGCGTCATCCGCCATTTGCTAGAGAAAGCGACAAGACCCAGTTAGTGAAATAATCGTCTAGCAGTCACCCGCGAGACCCAGGCGGGGACTCCCGCCCAGGAGCGCATTCCGGGGATACTAGACCCGATCCGATGTCCACGGATTCCCGCCGCCCACGCCAAGGCCTGCGACAGCCACCAACATTACTCACGTGTTTTATTGGAGAAGAAGAGCAAGGCCTACTGGGAGGCAGCTTTTATACCAAGCCAAGCCCCGCGCGATCTCCACTGCCCCGCCCCAGACGGGAGCGCGACGAACTCCCATAATACAGCTTGTGATTGGCTCCGTGGTGCCCCGCCCTCTCACGCTCTGCGTGCGCCTGCACGTCTGGCGCCAGCCGCGGCCCGGGAAATGTACGTCACCGGAAAAGCGGCTATAAATGGTCGCGTGTCGGGCGCGCAGGTCTCGCAGCTCAGGTGAGTCCTGCTGTGGGTTTGTTGTCTGTATGCCCCTGGTAGTTGGGCAGGCCGGCGTTGGTTGAAAATCACCCCCGGCTTTGGCCGTGGCCGCGGGTGAGATTCGGCGCCTAGATCCTCCGGGGGCCTCAGCTCACCACGCGCTGCCCTGTGTGCGGCGGTGAAACCCACGCCCCGACAGGCGCCGCGGTCTCCACCCGGATGCCGTGGCTCGCGAGGTCTGGCCCTGGCCCTGGCCACCGACCCTTAGCCCTGTCTTCTCTCCGCAGGACACTGGTTCTCCCACGCCTGAGACCGACGTCACCAGGACTGCGGGGTCGGGGAGACTCGGCTGGAAACGTCTTCCGAATAAAGTTGTTTGTCTTAACTGCGTGGGCGTGTTCTTGGGGCCCCGTCCCGCCTATGAGCCTGGCAAGTGCATCTGTTCACGCTGTGTTGGGGAGAACCCTAGCGAGATGCCTCTTCCTTTTCCCTGGCCATGCCAGCTCTGCTTGGACACAAGGATAGGATGGAGGCTGGCAGGTGACACTTAAGGTCGGACAGTTCTTACGTGGCAGAGCCAGATTGGGAACAGTCATCTGGCCATGCGCGCGTCAGGTAACCGCCGCACTCGCAGGTAAAGTGCCCTGGCGTAAGTAAGGGGCGCCAGGTGGGGCCAGCAGCGCTAGCGAGGAGGGGCAGCTCAGAGACTTGAGTGGCTGCTTTGTGAGACCAGGTGAGATTCTAAAGGATTGACCAACTAGGCCTAGATAAACGAAACGCTCCAAGGGTGCTAGGCTGGAGTGGGTCAGACCCCTGGTTTGGGAGGCTGGGCCCCTCGCTCTGGGGCAGCAGGTCACCCGAGAGTTTAGTTTTTAGTTTTGCGTTTTTTTTTTTTTTTTTTTTTTGAGAGAGTTTCGCTCTCATTACCCAGGCTGGAGTGCAATGGCGCGATCTCGGCTCACCGCAGCCTCTGCCTCCTGGGTTCAGGCAATTCTCCTGCCTCAGCCTCCCGAGTAGCTGGGACTACAGGCACGCACCACCATGCCCAGCTAATTTTTTGTATTTTGAATAGAGACGGGGTTTCACCATGTTGACCAGGAGGGTCTCGATCTCTTGACCTCGTGATCCACCCGCCTCGGCCTCCCAAAGTGCTGGGATTACAGGCGTGAGCCACCGCGCCCGGCCACGCGAGAGTTGAGTTCTTGTTGCCCTGGAGCCACCACCTGAGTATCGGATCCTAAGTGAAGACCCAGGTGGGTCAGTGCCCAAAGCCCCTAAGTCCAGGAGCTCCAGCCACCTGGGCGGCAATCCCCGTGATCCCACTGAAGCCTTGACCTTGGGGAAATAGCTCCATGAAGCTTGGTTCTGACCCAGTGCCTCTGAGGACCAGCTGTCAGCTGCCTTCAAGCCTGGGGGCTCCATTGACCTATCCAAGGTCAGGAGCTGCCCCTCTGCCCTACTCCTTTCCTGTGACTTTTTCTATTTTTGAGACAGAGTCTCTCTCTGTCACCCAGGCTGGAGTGCAGTGGCACCATCTTGGCTCACTGCAGCCTCTGCCTCCTGGGTTCAACCAATTCGGCCTCAGCCTCCCAAGTAGCTGGGATTACAAGCACCTGCTACCTTGCTCGGCTAGTTTTTTTGTATTTTGTGTTGGCCAAGCTGGTTTTGAACTCCTGACCTGAAGTGATCCGCCCACCTCAGCCTCCCAAAGTGTTAGGATTACAGGGGTGAGCCACTGCGCCCAGCCCTGTGGCTTTTTTTAAAAGATGGTTGCTGGGCTGTGCAGGTTTTCTGGGCCCTGAACCAGTGTTGTGATTGGCTTGACCTGGACAATGCCATTGTGATGTCAGCCCACACCCACTGTTAAATACAGGCTCCTGAGCCCTGGGGGCCTGTGGCGCTGCTGTCTAGTCACAGATCATGGTGAGCCTGGGGACCTCTTGCCTTCAGCCCTTGAGACTCCAGAAACATGCCCAGTTGTCCAGGGATCACCCCACTCCACTCGGAAAGGGGGGGCAATGAGTTGCAGGCCCCATATGCTACAAGAAAACCTTCTGGAAGGCTCCGGCTAGGCCTAACTCCAGGCTAAAGCCACAGTCTCCAGCCAGGGATTAGTAGTCCTGAGATGGGGGCCCTAACCCCCACAGCTGCCCCCTCAAAGTGGGTGCTGAGCCAGCCCCTCTACCTGAAGTTCTCCTGTGGCCCACCTCCCCACCCAGAGCTTGCTGGGCTCTCTTGCTGGGTATGTGGACCAGGGACTGGATCACTTTCCCAGCCAGGTCTTGACACCAGCTTGACCTTTGCAGAGCGGCGGGTATGATCTCAACCTCTTCGCCAGCCCTCCTGGCTGCAACTTCCTGTGCTCCGTCTGCCGTGGGGTTCTCAAGAGGCCAGCGAGGTTGCCATGCAGCCACATCTTCTGCAAAAAGTGCATCCTCCAGTGGCTAACCAGGTGCCACTGGGTACCCACAGGGCTGGGGGGGCAGCAGTGAGAGGGAGCACTGCTGTGGCCCACAACAGAGGGGAAAGTTAGCCAGAAGACTCAGCCACCAAATCTCCCTAAACTAAAACCCGTGCCCCTCTCTCGGTGGTGTCTGCACACCCCTGCCCCAGCCTCATAGCTGAGAGCTCCCTGTAATAAGCCGTGATGCCTCCTCCGGCTGATGAAGGGACCACCCGGGTCATGGAGTGAAGGGCTGACCAGGGTTCCCTTCCCATTCCCAACACTCACCCCCACTCATGCTTCCTTCCAGACAAAAGACCTGTCCGTGCTGCAGGAAACAGGTGAAAAAGAGAAAGATCGTCTATGAGAATAAACTCCGGAAAACCATCAGCCGCCTGGAAGTCAAGGTAGCTCAAAAAACCCACTCCCCCAACCCTCCACCCTCCTCACCCTTGTAGGGGTGGGGCAGGGCCAGGACAGGGGGCAAGGAGAAGTCCCATCTTCGGAGAGAAATGAGTGCCATCTTGGGTGGTCAGACACGGCTGAGTTTGAACTGTGGCTCTACCGCTTAGTTCTGTGTGACTTTAAGCAAGTCACTTACCCTTTCTAAACCCCTGGCATCTCAGCTGTAAAATGCAGATTATAAAGGATTTTTAGAGGATGAAATGCCTGGTGTGCCGGCCACTACTCTCTAGCCCACTAGTTTTACAGATGGGTAAACTGAGGTTAAAAAGGAAAACCTGAGATGGGCATGGGTGGCTCATGCCTGTAATCCCAGCATTTTGGGAGGCCGAGGCAGGTGGATCACGAGTTCAAGACTAGTCTCAACAACATGGTGAAACCCTGTTTCTCCTCACACAATACAAAAATTAGGCATGGTGGCACACGCCTGTAATCCCAGCTACTTCAAAGTCTGAGGCAGGAGAATCGCTTGAACCTGAGAGGTTGCAGTGAGCCGAGATCATGCCACTGCACTCCAGCCTGGGCAACAAAATGGGACTCCATCTCTGTCAGGGGTCGGGGGGAAGCCTGGCATCCATACCACTCACCAGACCAACCCAGCTGTGGACCTTCCAGTTCCCCAAGCGTCAGGCCTCATACCCTCCCCTGGCATGTCTGCCTTCTTCCCAAGTCCATGCATTTGACCCGTGTTCTCTCTCCACCACCTCACTGGAGTTAGCAAAGTATGGGAGGCTCCCGGGTCCCTGGTTCCTGGTGAGTGGAAAGCCAGGGACGGGGATTCCGTGAGTGTCCCACCTGGGTTGCTTCACACGTGTGCTCCTTCACCCTCAGTGCAAGAACGCCGACGCTGGCTGCATGGTGACATGCCCCCTGGCCCATCGCAAAGGGCACCAGGATTCGTGCCCCTTCGAGCCAATGGCCTGCCCCAACGAAGGCTGCACCTCGCGGGTCCCTCGTGGGACCCTGGCCGAGCACCAGAAGCTTTGCCAGCAAAGGAACCAGCAGCGCTGCCCCCTGGGCTGTGGGGCCACCCTGGACCCAACCAAGCGTGCTCACCACAACTGCTACCGCGAGCTGCACGACGCCTGGAGCGCCCGCCAGGAGCGCAGTCAGACCATGCTGCTGTGCCTGCTGAGGCGCGTGCGCCAGCTACACCGGGCCACCCGCATTGTCCGCCGAGAGCTGGCGGAGCTGGGCAACTTCCTGGAGGGCACACCACAGGAGGAGGCCGAGGCCTAGGCTGCCCCGGAAGGCAGCGTCTGGGCTGAGGTACGGGGTGCTCAGGGCCAGAGTATCTTGTAAATAAATAAACGCAGAGCCCCGCACAGCTGTCACCTGTGCGTCCCTGTTGGCCTTTCCAGGCATGACTCCCTTCCTCCCAGGGATACTCCACGGGCTTTCTCCAAGGGCTCTGTGTTCCGTCACACCATGGGGCTTGGCCTGGCGACTCCCCCTGCCTGGAGAGCTCTTCCCTTCGCCTCCATTTGCCTGCGTTCATCTTTTTGTTGTTTTTCTTTTTTGTTTGTTTTTTTGCCTGGAATGTTTTGTTTTGTTTTGATTTGGAGTCTCTGTCGCCACGCTGAAGTGCAATGGCGTGATCTCGGCTCACTGTAACCTCCGCCTCCTGGGTTCAAGCGATTCTTCTGCCTCAGCCACCGGAGTAGCTGGGACAACAGGCACGTGCCACCATGTCCAGCTAATTTTTCTATTTTTAGTAGAGACGGGGTTTCACCATGTTGGCCAGGATGGTCTCGATCTCTTGACCTCGTGTTCCACCCACCTCAGCCTCCTAAAGTGCTGGGACTACAGGCTGGGATTTTAAAGTCGGGGGCCGGGCACAGTGGCTCACCCTGTAATCCAGCAGTTTGGGAGGCAGAGGCAACCAACCTGACCAACATGGCGAAACCACTTCTCTACTGAAAATACAAAACTGAGCTGGGCATGGTGGCACAAGCCTGTAGTCCCAGTTACTCAGGAGGCTGAGGCAGGAGAAACACTTGAACCCAGGAGGCAGAGGTTGCAGTGAACCAAGATTGAGCCACTTCACTCCAGCCTGGGCAACAAGAGTGAGACTTCATCTCAAAAAATAAAATAAAGGGAATACAAGAATGTATTTTCTTCTTGTTTTCTTTTTTGGGTCCGGGTCTTGCTCTAGCGCCCAGGCTGGAGTGCGGTGCCGTGATCATGGCTCACTGCAGCCTCAACCTCCCTGGGCTCAAGTAATCCTCCCACCTCAGCCTCCTGAGTAGCTGGGACTACAGGCGCACACCACCACTGCTGAATAATTTTTGTGTTTGGTGTAGAGATGAGGTCTCACCGTGTTATCCAGGCTGATCTCAAACTCCTGGGCTGAAGTAATCCTCCTGCCTCTGCTCCCCAAAGTGTTGGGATTAGAGGTGTGAGCCGCCATGCTGGCCTGCTTTACTTCACTTAAGTGTTTTTTTTTTTTTTTTTTGAGACGGAGTTTCGCTCTTGTTGTGACCCAGGCTGGAGTGCAACGGCGTGATCTCGGCTCACCACAACCTCCGCCTCCTGGGTTCAGGCAATTCTCCTGCCTCAGCCTCCTGAGTAGCTGGGATTACAGGCACGCGCCATCATGCCCAGCTAATTTTTTTTGTATTTTTAGTAGAGACGGGGTTTCACCACGTTGACCAGGATGGTCTCGATCTCTTGACCTCGTGATCCACCCGCCTCGGCCTCCCAAAGTGCTGGGATTACAGGCGTGAGCCACCGCGCCCGGCCTCTCCTGTGTCATTTATCATGAGCCACACTGCGAGCCCCGAGGCAGGGTCAGGTTCACCGCTCTAGGCTTGGACCTCACCCGACTCCTGCTGCCTCAATTTCCGGAACGCCGAAGGGCAGGAGTAAACGAATGCCTTTTTATACTGCTATCAAAAGGCCAGGCTGGCCAGGCGCGGTAGCTCTCGCCAGCACTTTGGGAGGACAAGGCGGGAGGATCACCTGAGGTTGGGAGTTCAAGGCCATCCCGGCCAACATGGTAAAACCCGTCTTTAAAAAAAAAACAAAAAAAAAAACAGGCCAGGCTACGGCGATGCCACCCACGCTAGTTTCCCGCATCCGCCCGCGCAGCACCGTCACGGCTCACAGCCCACCCTCCAGGCCGGAAACACCTCCGCCCGCTTCCACTTCCGGATACAGCCGCCATAACCTGCAGCAGAAATGGCGACAAGCGCGCGGCGCCGGTGACGTCACAGGCGTCGCGCGTGGTGACGCCATCTCAGCGCGCCGGGAGTGCGGAGCTCCGTGCCAACCTCCCTCCTCACGCGGTGGAGGCTGCCGGGGTTCTAGCCGGTTTCGGCGGGAGCGGCGGCCGCAACATGGCAGAGACCGCGGCCGGAGTGGGCCGCTTCAAGGCCAAGTGAGCTCGGAGCGCTGGGGCCACGCGGGGAGGGAGCCGGGTTCGCAGCAGGCGTGGCGGAGACGCGCGTGGAGTGGGCGTCCATTGGGGTCTGGGAGGGGAGGGGGTACGTGTGCGCCGGCCCGCGGGGTCGCGGAGGCTGCGATGATACTAGGTGGGAGAGCAGGCTCCGACTGCCCTCGGGGAGGACGGGGACCTAAGCCCGGGCGCAGCAGCCTGGGCTCAACGAGAAGCCGGCTGTGGGATGAAGTGGGGACCAGAAGTCCGGTTGAGGGCAGGGGAGGGCTGAGCGTAGGTCGGGGCTGGTCCCGGCAAACGGCGGAGACGAAGAACCACCTCTAAGCACTCGGCCTGGGGACTCACCACCCTCGAACCCTTTTCTCCAGGGAGCGGGGAGACAGCAGGGGAGGGCAGGTCTGCCGAAGCCCAGGAGGGCCTCAGTCCTGTGCCCTGTCACTCCCAGGTGACCTCAGGGGTGCCCCCGCCGTGGCAGCGCAGTCGCATGGGATTATCATTTCCATCGGCGGCTGTGGGGCTTTGGTTGTGCCGAGCACTGGTAAAGGAAAGCCCCTGGCTGGCAGCACCGCCGTGGGAGGGTCGACTGGGTTCAGGGGCTGAGGGGTTGCTTTCGTCTTGGCAGTCAAGCTTCCAGAAGCGCACTGAGCCAGGCCCTGACCTCTGGGAAGGGAAGCCCAGGCCACACACAGGGGACGGGGAAGATAGGAAACCTGTCCCAGGGGCTGGGAAAGGAACCATGGTGGGCCATGAGAGGGAAGGGAAGCAGAGGCAAGGTTGTCAGAGCCCTTCTGGAGAAGGTCTGGGAAGTGTGTGGACACAGTGAGGGTCTGATGTGGGGCAGTGACATCTTCACTTATGTTCGAAAGGACCTAGCAGCACAGTTAAGACGTAGGTGGGGGCCCAGTGAAATGGCCAGAGATTGTGATGGTCTGGACCAGGTGGGAGGCAGTGGAGAGGGAAGGAGGAGGGGCAGGGTGAGGTCACAGAAATGACCTCTGCTCATGGGACCTGGGCTCTGGGTAGGCCTGGGGACAGAGGGAGGAGCCAGGGAGGGGGAGAGGTATGCCAGATCTCAGGGATGAAGACGCTGGGAGGTTGTGCTCTGGGCTGCTACCCAGGCTCAGCTACCCACCGCCAGCAGGGGTGGCCCCAGGGACTCACCTGGCTCTCCCTGAGGAATCCCTGGGAGCCCTGGGGTGTTGGGCTGCCTCCGCCTGACGAAGGCCCACCCCCTACTGCCTCAGGGATCATCAGCCAGCTCTGAGTCTGCTTCTCAGTGGCTTGGGAGTGGCAACCGCCCCCTGCAGTGCTGCTGGTTCCACCCCGTGCCCCATCCCTGCTGTTGCCCTGAAATTCAAGGGCAGGGGCCATTGTGGTCACCTCAAGAGGAACACCCAGCACAGGGCTGGACCCTGGGGATCGAGGGGATGGGTGACGCTCACTTCCCCGTACTCTTCTAGCTATGTTGTGGAGCGCAAAATCGAACCTTTCTACAAGGGCGGAAAAGTACAGGTATAGATCTGGGGCAGGGTTGGGGGTGGGCAGCCAGAGGCTGCAGGGGGTACCAAATGTTGCCTGGCTGAGACCCCATTGTCCCCAGCTGGACCAGACTGGCCAGCACCTCTTCTGTGTCTGTGGCACCAGAGTCAACATTCTGGAGGTGGCCTCAGGGGCCGTGCTGCAGAGTCTGGAGCAGGTGAGGACAACCTGAGTGGGTGAGGGGCAAGCGGCGGGGCCAGCGCCTTCACACAGCCCTCTGCACACTGCTCTTTCCCCTAGGAGGACCAGGAGGATATCACTGCCTTTGATCTCAGCCCCGACGATGAGGTATGGAGGGTGGGGCCCAGTGGGGACTGAGTCCGGGAGGGTGTTGGCGCCCCTCTGCTGACCTGTATCCTCCCCTAGGTGCTGGTGACAGCCAGCCGGGCGTTGCTGCTGGCTCAGTGGGCCTGGCGAGAGGGCAGCGTTACCCGCCTTTGGAAGGCGATACACACAGCCCCCGTGGCCACCATGACCTTCGACCCCACCTCCACGCTGCTAGCCACGGGTAGGGCCCTGCTGGGCAGGTGGGTGGCAGGCACAGATGGAGGGTCTTTGGGCGTTCCAGCCCCTCACCTTGCTTCCCCGAAGGCGGCTGTGACGGGGCTGTGCGCGTCTGGGATGTCGTGCGGCACTACGGGACACACCACTTCCGAGGCTCGCCCGGTGTTGTGCAGTACGTGTGAGGGGAATGGCGGGGTGAAGGAGAGTACGGGGCACCCCCAGGCTGCTGAGCTCACCCATCCTGTCCCACCTGCAGCCTGGTGGCCTTCCACCCAGACCCCACACGCCTGCTGCTCTTCTCCTCGGCCGCAGATGCTGCCATCCGCGTGTGGTCACTGCAGGATCGGTCGTGCCTGGCTGTGCTGACTGCCCACTACAGCGCTGTCACCTCACTGGCTTTCAGTGCCGACGGCCACACTATGCTCAGGTCAGCAGCATGCCCTGGTAGGCGGGGAGGCTGCGAAAGCAGGGGCCGAGGCTCAGACTTGACCTCAGGTAGCTGTTGCTCCCCCAGCTCCGGCCGTGACAAGATCTGTATCATCTGGGACCTTCAGAGCCACCAGGCTGTGAGGACTGTGCCGGTGTTTGAGGTAGGGACACCTGGAGGCCAGGCCTGGTGAGTTGGGTTCGGGGGGGGTGTCAGCAGCCTGTGACCCAGTTCACCTCCAGAGCGTGGAGACCGCTGTGCTGTTGCCAGAGGAGCCGGCATCTGAGCTGGGTGTGAAGTCCCCAGGCCTGCACTTCCTGACAGCTGGCGACCAAGGTGCGTGGGGCCGGGCCTCGGGCAGGTGGTAGGAGCTGGGGAAGGCCTGTGAACCTTAGGAGTCTCACAGCCTGTCCCCACCCACCCAGGCACTCTGCGTGTGTGGGAGGCAGCTTCTGGGCAGTGTGTGTACACACAGGCCCGGCCACCGGGCCCTGGGCGGGAGCTGACCCACTGCACCCTGGCCCGCACTGCCGGCCTGCTCCTCAGCGCCACTGCAGACCACAACCTGCTGCTCTACGAGGCTCGCTCCCTGCGGCTGCAGAAGCAGGTGCACATCTGCCCCTGCTTAGCCTGCGGAGGGGAGGGGCTGTGGGTGCCAGCCCTCTTCTCGCTGGGGCCTGGCTCACATCTCCTGCCTCCTGCCCTTGTGTAGTTTGCTGGCTATAGTGAGGAGGTCCTGGATGTCCGGTTTCTCGGACCTGAGGACTCCCACATCATCGTGGCCTCCAATAGCCCCTGCCTGAAAGTGTTTGAGCTGCAGACATCAGCCTGCCAGATCCTCCACGGCCACACGGGTGAGTGGGGCAGCCCACCTGGGTCCCTTGCTTGCTTCCCTTCCCCCATCTTGCCCTGTGACCTGTACCTCCCCCACCATGTTTTCAGATATCGTTCTGGCTCTGGATGTGTTCCGGAAGGGGTGGCTCTTTGCCAGCTGTGCCAAGGTGAGGTGCCCTGAGAGGTAGGGGCAGGGGCACTAGGCGGGGAGGCCACATGGTAGGTCCACAGACCAGCCTCTCTCCTCCACTCCCCTTCTCCAGGATCAGAGTGTCCGAATCTGGAGGATGAACAAGGCTGGCCAGGTGGTCTGCGTGGCTCAGGGTCCCGGCCACACGCACAGTGTCGGCACCGTCTGCTGCTCTAGGTAGTGAGTAGGTCGGGGCTGGGCCCAGAGTGTCAGGAAGGTGGATGCCCAGGCCTGCCAGCAGGGGCTGCCACTCAGGGATCTGAGGAGGCGGCAGCTTTGAGGCTCCAGCCCAGACATGTGCAACAGAACAGGATGGGGGAGTCCCTAGGTGTCTTGGGGGCAGTCCTCAGAAGTACCCCTGGCAAAGTGGTTAAAGGGCGAAGGGCACTGGACAGAGAGAGGGACTCTGCATCAGGCCCAGATGGAGAGGGGATCCCTGCATGCAGGGCTGGGGTCCTGTGGCTGGAGCTGAGTCACCAGGTGCTGCAGGTGGACAGCGTAGGCAGGGCTTGGTCCTTCAGGTGCCTAGAGGTGACCCAGGCCAATCTGCATCCTGAGACAGGCCCTATGGTCTGAGCTGCCCATCAAGGCTGGCCAGGGCTCAGCTGTGTCTCCTCCTCCCTCCCTGTTGGGCCACAGGCTGAAGGAGTCCTTCCTGGTGACGGGCAGCCAGGACTGCACTGTGAAGCTGTGGCCTCTTCCCAAAGCCCTGCTGTCTAAGAACACAGCTCCAGACAGCGGCCCTGTCCTCCTGCAGCCCCAGACCACTCAGCGCTGCCATGATAAGGTGAATCCGCAGCCACTGGGGTGGGGGTGTGGCCCAGCCCTTGCTGGCAGGGGGATGGGGATGCTGAGCCACCACCTGCTCCTATTGCCAGGACATCAACAGCGTGGCTATTGCCCCCAACGACAAGCTGTTGGCCACTGGCTCGCAGGACCGCACGGCCAAGCTCTGGGCCCTGCCGCAGTGCCAGCTGCTGGGCGTCTTCTCAGGCCACCGGCGTGGCCTCTGGTGTGTCCAGTTCTCTCCCATGGACCAGGTGCTGGCCACAGCCTCAGCTGATGGCACCATCAAGCTCTGGGCGCTCCAGGACTTTAGCTGTCTCAAGGTAAGCAGCGCTCCAGGCCCTCCACGCCTCCCGCCCTGGTGACATCTCATGCCCTGCCTCAACCTTGCAGACATTTGAGGGGCATGATGCTTCTGTGCTGAAGGTGGCCTTTGTGAGCCGGGGCACACAGCTGCTGTCCAGGTGAGTGGGCTGGGGTGGGGCAGCGACGGGGCCAGGTGTGGGAGCTGCCTGATGCTGAGCCTCTCCCCACCCCAAACCCAGCGGCTCAGATGGCCTTGTGAAGCTCTGGACCATCAAGAACAACGAGTGCGTGCGGACGCTGGATGCCCACGATGACAAGGTCTGGGGTCTGCACTGCAGCCGGCTGGACGACCGCGCCCTCACTGGCGCCAGCGACTCCCGAGTCATCCTCTGGAAGGTTGTAGGCCTGAGGGTGGGGAGGAGGTGGGGTGGCATGGGGGCCCCATCTGACCCCAGTCTCACCCCAGGATGTGACCGAGGCGGAGCAGGCAGAGGAGCAGGCCAGGCAGGAGGAGCAGGCGGTCAGGTAAGGCCAGGGCAGTGGCGCCCCTCCCAGCATCACCCCATGATACACTGCATCACCCAGCACAGTCTGTGCTGTAGGGAAACTGAGGCCGAGCAGCAGGCTCACCGCCTACTGACTGCTATAGCTCTCTGCCTGCAACCCCAGCCAGTGACCCTCAGTGGCCTCTCCTCCCCTTCTGGCAGGCAACAAGAGCTGGACAACCTGCTGCATGAGAAGCGGTACCTGCGGGCGCTGGGCCTGGCCGTCTCCCTGGATCGGCCCCACACCGTGCTGACCGTCATCCAGGGTCAGGGACCACCCCTGGGGGTGAGGAGCCGGGTCTCTGGACCACTGGGCTCTGCTTTCCCCAGCTCAACCTTCCCTCCTCCTACAGCCATTCGGAGGGACCCTGAGGCCTGTGAGAAGCTGGAAGCCACCGTGCTCCGACTGAGGCGAGACCAGAAAGGTTGGGAGCTAGTCAGGGTGGGTGGCCCGGTGGGCAGGGGCCAGTCATGGTGGATTGACCGGGTGAGAGGATGACGGTCCTGTCACTCACAGAGGCCCTGCTGCGCTTCTGCGTCACATGGAACACCAACTCGCGCAACTGCCACGAGGCCCAGGCCGTGCTGGGTGTGCTCCTGCGGCACGAGGACCCTGCGGAGCTGCTGGCCTACGAAGGCGTGCATGCAGCACTTGAGGCCCTGCTGCCCTACACTGGTACGCAGGCACAGCTGGGGTTGCGGACATCCTGGGGGATGTGTAGATACCCCCTGACCTCCCTCTGTCCTCCCCAGAGCGGCACTTTCAGCGGCTCAGCCGGACACTCCAGGCCGCCACCTTCCTAGACTTCCTGTGGCACAACATGAAGCTGCCTGTGCTGGCCGCCGCCCCCATGCCCTGGGAAACCCATAAAGGCACCCTCTCCTAGCCAGCTGCTTCTCTCTCCAGTCCATTCCCAACACCCTGGGGAACCCCTAAAGGCGCGCTCACCTAGCCGGCTTGGTCTCTTTGGGCTCCAGTCTAGACCCCATCCTGGCCAACACCCTACCTAGCCGCCCAAAGGGGCCCTGCTAGCCCATCCCCACACCCTGGCCTGTCAGAGACCCGGCTGAGCAGGCTGAGACAGCAGGGGTCATTCAGAACAAGCTTTATTCAGAGGAATAGTAAAGCGCCCCCCTCCCACCCCTGCTGGCCAGGGAGATCCGCCCTCACTGCTCTGTCGTAGCGTGTGGCACAGGGTCCACACACTCTCCATAGGGGCCCTGGCGCCCTGGGTGCCGCTCCAGGGCTCTGCGGGTGATGGTGCAGCAGCGGCTCTGGATGGTGCCCGGCGAAGGTCGGGCGGGGACCGTGGGGGCAGGGGTGGTGGCCTGGGAGGGTTGGGGGGAGCCCTGGGCCTCGTCTGCTGAGTTGTCTCCTGGGCGCAACCCTGTCCTGCTCAGGAGCGCGCCCAGCCCTTCAGGCTGCAGCACCACCGCAGGGAGGAGGCCCGCCCGGTCACTGTACCTGCCAGGGGCAGTGCGGGGGGTGTGTGGTTAGGGCCCTGCCCTCCTTGGCTGGGCTGCCCCGCCCATGCCCACGCCTGCTTACCTGCAGAGCCACCAGCCACGATCTGACGTTTTCAGCACGTGCACGCGCGCCCCTGCGGGCACAGACAGCTCATCTGCACGGCTGCCCTCGTAGGCGCGGGAAGCACAGAACTGGGGACCTGGGGGTGGATGTTTGGGGTCACCATGGGGCCGTAGAGGACAGGGCCCTCACCCTTCTCCGGATTCTCCTGGCCTGAGTCTGCTGACGCCGGGACTGCCCTAAAACTCAGGGCTTCCTCTAGGTTCAGTGACCAAGCATGGGCTCCTGGGCCCCATCAAGCCGCCCTTCCCGCAGTGCTTCTGACCCAGTTTGCCGCGTGGTCCAGCTGTACTGATGGCATGAGGGGTGGGGATTAGGCACATACCACTGCTCCCTAGGGACGGGCCTCCTTCCCAGCCCTGGCCTGCAGCCACCTCCTCCAAGTAGGGCGCTGGAAACCAAGCTGTCTGCTGGTCCTTGTTCTCCACCAGCCACCAGCCTGTGCACAAGAGGTGGGTGGGGACTCAGATCTTGAGGCTCCCTGGTGTCCAGGGGCAGAGAGGCAAGTCCCTGGGTTCTTGGCGGGCCCTACCTGAGGGGTGCCTCAGCAGCACATCCAGGCTCTCCTGGGCCTGCACCTGGAAAGGCCGGTCCCGTGTGTCCTGAGTGCAGAAGGACTGTAGGCAGCGCAGGCTTTGAGCCTCCAGACTGTGGATGGAGAGGCGGCCGGCAGCACGGGAGAGAGGTGGCTCCGGGTTGGGCAGGATCACCCGGCTGGGAAGAGCAGCCCGCACGGGTGAGAGGTAGGTAGATTCCAAGGTGAAACTAGGCGTGCCACACAACCCCAGCAAGACCGCCAGCCTCCTAGTTTCTGCTGCTCTTCACTGGCTATAACCCCCACCTTAGACCTCCTCCCAGCTCCAAACGCTGCTGCAGGCTGGGAGTTGGGGGCGAGTCAGGTACCTGCCGGGTGGCAGTGCGGGCTCCAGGTCCAGAGGTTGCGGTGCAAAGAAGTCTGTGATCACTGGGCTCCGAGCCACGCGCTCTGCAGTTGCCAGCAGCCTCCGAGAATAGGTTTCCAGCAGCTGCAGGCGTGCCAGGCCGCGGCTCGTGCGCCCCCTGTGTGTCAATAGCGGTGCATCTAAGGACACCACAAAAAACGTACACTGAGACCCCGCTTCGGGCTTCACTGGTCCCTTGAGCCACACCCCCCACCCCCAGTAAGCCACCGCCTTCCCTGTCCCCGGCCCCAGGCTGGCCTGACCGAGAAGCTTTGGGAGAATGCGGTCGGATTTCCGAAGCAGGCCTGCCTCCACCGGAAAGGTCTCCTTGAGGTTCTTCTGAGGGCAAGAACCGGGGCATCAGTCTCCCAGAGCCCACTGTGCACCCTTAGGAGGGTGGGGTCCCTCACCCTGATGGCAAGGGCTGGGAGCCTCAGGCAGGATGAAGGGCCTCCAGTTAGTCACTGACAGGTCTTGCACTGGTAGGCACCCAGGTGGGGAAGCCTCAAGCATGGCGTTAGGGTGGCCCAGGGTCACTCACCTTGAGCCGCCTGAATTCCTCCCAGCTCCTGCACACAAAGGTGTCGCTGCCGTCTGACCATCGCACGGAGAAGGCAAATGTCTAGGGGACGTAAAGTCATGGGTGCCTTGGAGATGCTGACGGAGGCACCCCCTTCCTATGCCTTAGGGCCACTAAAGACGCAGCCAAGTCTTACTTGGAGCCTCTTGATCTGCACCAGAGCCGCCCCTCGCACTGAATCCGGGTATCGGGGGCCTGCCATGGCTGCGGGCTTCAGGCTGCAGAGTCCTGAAATACTGGGTAAGGATTCCTCTGCCTCCCTGTGCTCCAGAGGGCTCTGGGGCACCTAGGAACCTGGCTGCCTGGGACAGAAGCCTGTAGGGTCCTTGTGGGGCTGCCCCAGCTGAGTTCTTTCCAGCTTTCTTGCTGTCTCCCAAGCCCAAGATCTGGGAACGGTAGCACAGGGATTGGGGAACTTCCAGGCAGAGCTGCTAGGAGGAAGAATGAGCGTCCTGGCCCTAGAGGCGTGCAAGACTAAGGGGCAGAGGGTGGGAGGAACTGCTGCCTGGGGCCCTCCTGCCTGACTCTGGCCAAGGGAGGAGGGAGGAGAAGGCGGGGCCCATCAAAATGCCACCAGTCCTGCCCACCTCTCTGGATTCCCCCACCTTGCAAGGTACTTGGCCTGGTATGACCTTCTGCCAGCGTGTGCCCAACAACTGTCTTAGAACTGGCCCGGGGATTTCTGTGCAGAACCGAGGACTCAGTGCTCAAGGCTTTAAGTGCTCTGTCTGGCTTAATCCTAATGCTGGAGGAAAGGCCTCTTCATGTCCCCAGCTCACAGAGGAGGAAATGTGAGCTAAATGTATAATTATTGTGAGTTTTTCTGTATATGTTGGGGGAGGGGCAGACCTCACAGGCTCACCCCAGGGGTTCCCCTGCAGTGAGGAGACTTGGGGTAAGAGAAAGACGGCCCATGTGTATAGTCCCTGGCACTTGAGGGGTGAGGGGTGGTCAGGGAAGTGGTCACCAGGACTGTTTTGAGAGCCACCTCTCAAACAGACCTCCTGCAAACACCGCCTAGTCAGAGGCTTGCCCAGGTGCCACACCTCTCTGGCTGCTTCCTTATAGCTTCAGAAGCCACATTCAACCTCGGTACACAGTGGTTCTTCCTGGTGCTGGAGTCACCAGTTCTGTGTTGGGATGCCCCCACTCCAGCCCCTTCAGGGAGCGGTCGGCCTCTGGGGCATCCCTGCAGCAATCTGCCTTGGCTGCAACAAAGGGCCTTTGTGTGTGTGTCACCAGCACTCTCTGAGGCCCTCCAGTTGTCCCTGGTCTTGGCACGGACTAAGAACACCTGCTCACATAGGGCTGATTTGCAGGGCTCCCCCAGCCAGCTCTCATCTCCTCCCTATCTCAGCTGAGGGCCCCAAGGACCTGGCGGTGAATCAACCCAGGGCAGACTTTGCTCTCCTGGAAGACAGTAGAGAAGCTAGGGAGAATTTATTCACAAGCAGTGGCCTAGAGGAATTCTGAGGCCCCTCCACACCCCAGCTGACACAGCCTGCCCCACACCGCATCGGCCCTGGATCCTTCCCGCTTTTTTTTTTTTTTTTTTTTTGAGACGGAGTTTCGCTCTTGTTACCCAGGCTGGAGTGCAATGGCGCGATCTCGGCTCACTGCAACCTCCGCCTCCTGGGTTCAGGCAATTCTCCTGCCTCAGCCTCCTGAGTAGCTGGGATTACAGGCACGCGCCACCATGCCCAGCTAATTTTTTGTATTTTTAGTGGAGACGGGGTTTCACCATGTTGACCAGGATGGTCTCGATCTCTTGACCTTGTGATCCACCCGCCTCGGCCTCCCAAAGTGCTGGGATTACAGGCTTGAGCCACCGCGCCCGGCCCCTTCCCGCTTTTTCCTCTCCTACCCTCTTTTCTTACCGGAATGGTACAACCACCCCACCCTCCATCCATATCCTCCTCACTTGTTCCCACAAAATCCACCCCAAGGTCGGGTTTGGTGCCTCTCACCTGTAATCCAAGCACTTTAGGAATCCAAGGCGGGGGAACTGCTTGAGCTCAGGAGACCAGTCTGGGCAACATGGTGAGACCTCCATCTGTACCAAAAAATATATACAAAAATTAGCTGGGTGTGGTGGCACGTGCCAGTAGTCCCAGCTATTTGGGGAGTTGAGGTGGGAAGATCACGAGCCTAAGCAGTCGAGACTGTAGTGAACCATGATTGTGCCATTGCACTCCAGCCTGGGGAACAGAGCAGGACCCTACCAGAAGAAAGAAAAGAGAAAGAAGGAAGGAAGGGGGAAGGAAAGAAAGAAGGGAAGGAAGGAAAAGAAAAGAGAAAAATCCACTCTCTGTAAGAAAGAAAGAAATCTAAAGAAATGCACTCCTTGTATAATAGCCAGAGGAATTTTCAGCAAACTGAAATGGGATCGGATTGGGTGGCCTTGCCCAAAACTGACTGGCATCTTCCCCTCCCTTGGAATAAATTCCCAATCCCCGCAGCTGCTGACCAGGTCCTTGATGGGCCCACTGGCCTTTTTTGTTCCTGCAAAACGCCAAGACCCTGCCACCTTGAGCTTGGTCTTTTTTTTTTTTTTTTTGAGACGGAGTTTCGCTCGTTACCCAGGCTGAAGTGCAATGGCGTGACCTCGGCTCACCGCAAACTCCGCCTTCTGGGTTCAAGCAATTCTCCTGCCTCAGCCTCCCGAGTAGCTGGGACGACAGGCGTGCGCCACCAGGCCCAGCTAATGAGCTTGGTCTTAAAGGCGCTCCTCAGCTGATTCCTCATCCTTCAGGCCTCTGCCCAAGGGTCACCACCTCAAGGAGGCCTTCCAGATTTACCCCACCCTTGCACGGCCCCACCAGTTTGTACGGGAACATTCACGAGCGTGACTCGTTTTCCCCCCCCCGCCCCCCCATCTTGACCACTGAATTATGAACAGAGGAGATCAGGCAGCAGAGCTCTGTTCCCTGCACTGCCCAGCGCCTGGAACAGCGCCTGGAGCAGAGAGGCCACTGCACAAATAATAGCGTAAAGGACGAATGAAAGCAAGGAGGCAGAGGAATCCCAGAGGTGGCTCCAACTGGGAGCCCGACCCCTCATTCGGGCCGTGGGACCGGCGGCAGCTGGGGGCGCGCCGAGAGCCAGAGGCTCTCAAACCCTCGGCAGCCGCGCCCCGTCCCGCGTTGCCAGGCGCCCGTTGCCATAACGCCGGGGCGAGGCCGCGAGCCCAGCACTCTGTGCGGTCACGCCGGCCCCGCATTGCCAGGGTTCCCAGCACCCGGCGGGTGGACGCGCCCCTCAGCGGAGGGCACAGCGTGGCCGCGGACACGCAGGACGCTCAGAACGGAGCGATGGGGGCGTCGCGGGTCGCGACACGTACTTCGTCTGGGCCTCAGCCCAGGTCCACAGCATGGCCGCGGCGCACCTTCCGCCACACTCTGCTGTTCTACCCGAGGAGGCGAGAGCGCCGCCACGGACTGCGCAAACCCGCCGCGGGTCGCGGAGCGCCCGGATGCTCCAGCTCCGTCCCCTCCCAGGCCGGCGCCGCGGTCTGTGGCTCCGCCTCCACCCGGGTCCGCTGGCCGGCCCCCGCCCCCAGCCCTCGCTCAGGCCCGGCCCCCGCCTCCGACCCCGCCCCCAGCCCTCGTTCGGGCCCGGCCCCCGCCTCCGACTCCGCCCCCAGCCCTCGCTCAGGCCCGGCCCCCGCCTCCGACCCCGCCCCCAGCCCTCGCTCAGGCCCGGCCCCCGCCTCCGACTCCGCCCCCAGCCCTCGCTCAGGCCCGGCCCCCGCCTCCGACCCCGCCCCCATCCCTCGCTCAGGCCCGGCCCCCGCCTCCGACTCCGCCCCCAGCCCTCGCTCGGGCCCGGCCCCCGCCTCCGACCCCGCCCCCAGCCCTCGCTCGGGCCCGGCCCCCGCCTCCGACTCCGCCCCAGCCCTCGCTCGGGCCCGGCCCCCGCCTCCGACTCCGCCCCAGCCCTCGCTCAGGCCCGGCCCCCGCCTCCGACTCCGCCCCCAGCCCTCGCTCGGGCCCGGCCCCCTCGAGCACGGCGCGCGCCTCCCGCTCGTATTTTCGCACGCTGGCCTGGAGGCCGACCTGGAGGCTCATCTGGAGGCCGAGCTAGCCCGGCAGACCTTGCGCGGGCAACATGGCGGCGCCCGGCGAGCGGGGCCGCTTCTATAGCGGGAACTACTTCTTCTTGCCCGGTGGCGCGCGCTCCGAAGTGATAGACGACCTGGCTACCGACGCACGGGGCCGGGGAGCGGGGCGGAGAGACGCGGCTGAGAGGTCAGCCCCGACGCCAGCCCAGGCGCCGACCTCCGAGTCTCAGGTCACCGAGGACGTGTCCCGGAGGCGGCCTTGCCGGGCCTGCGTGGACTTCAAGACGTGGATGCGGACGCAGCAGAAGGTGCAGATCCCTGCCCGACCTCCCCCAACCCCGCGCAGCCCCCGCCCAGGTGCCCCGGCAGAGCTCCCCAGGGTTGCCTTTCCCTGAACCTTGTCCCCCAGATAGGTCCGGCCCTACAGCCTTCATCCGCGTTTGGGCTGGATCGTCTGCAGGACGCTGGCCGGAGTCCACTGGGCCACCGGCTGGGCCGTGCAAGGGGGGAGCTTTGGGCGCTTCTGTTCGGAGAATGAACTCACTCTCGGTCGGCCTTCCGCAGCAGGACAGCAAATTTAGGGAGGACTGCCCGCCGGATCGCGAGGAACTGGGCCGCCACAGCTGGGCTGTCCTCCACACCCTGGCCGCCTACTACCCCGACCTGCCCACCCCAGAACAGCAGCAAGACATGGCCCAGTTCATACATTTATTTTCCAAGTTTTATCCCTGTGAGGAGTGTGCTGAAGACCTAAGGAAAAGGTAAGATGCGTTGGCAGGCATCAGAGCTTTACCCTGGAGCCTGGGCCTGGGGCTCCTGACTGACGCTATACCGGGGAACCTAGAGAAACCTGCAGAGGTGGCAGAAGCTTGCTGGGGAGCAGGGACCACCAACAGGTGAGGACAGAGGCTATCTGAGCCTCCTCCTCTTGTCTGAGGCCAAGCTGCCAGGATTTGCTGCTGGGAACTGCTCTCCCACGGCCACAGGTCTCCCAGGAAGGGCCTCCCTGCCTTGTTTGGCACCAAAGGCAGCTCCCCGCAGGTTAGGGAGGACTCCACTTTGCCTGACTTCTAGACTGCTGTTTTAAAATCTTGGAAACCCACTACTTTTGCTCCCAAGAGCCACCTCTTCCTCACTGAGGCATCCAAGAGCCAGAACTGGCCCTTGCAGGTGTTTCTAGGCCAGATGTGTGGGGCAGAGCTGCCATTGTAGCTTTCAGCCTGGGCAGTCAGAATGAGGTCTCTTGCTGACTGAGGCATCAGAGCCTCAGGTCCTAAGAATCAAGTCCAGTTTTCAGTTACAAGGCTGTGTCCAGCCCCACCCAGTTCACACTCTGCCTGGGGCCAGGGACACTAGATGCCGCCTCCTGGGTGTTAGGAGCTTGTAAAATTGCTAGGTCTGTGCTGTAATATTTTTCTTTGAGGCCCTGTCGGTGTTTCAGCAGCCCTGGGAATTTGCCACACCCAAGGAGCTGAAGGGTCAGGCCTGTTGTGGGAATTCCCATCCCTTGGAGCATGAGGGCACTCCGAGGTGAAGCCCAGAGCAGTGGCCCAGCTCTCCGTCCTTGGGAGCAGACAGAGCTGGCAGGGGTAGTGGAGCCGCTGCGTCCTCCCATTCTTCACATGCTCTCCCTACGCAGGCTGTGCAGGAACCAGCCAGACACCCGCACCCGGGCATGCTTCACGCAGTGGCTGTGCCACCTGCACAATGAGGTGAACCGCAAGCTGGGCAAGCCTGACTTTGACTGCTCAAAAGTGGATGAGCGCTGGCGTGACGGCTGGAAGGATGGCTCCTGTGACTAGAGGCTGGTCAGCCAGAGCCCATGGGACAGCCAGCCAGTGCCCTTGCAGTAGCCTGGCTGCATAGGGGCAGGGCACTCATTAAAGTGCATCAGGCTCAGAGCCTGTTATGTCTCAGTTGAGTGGTCCCAGGACACTGCCCGGGGGGCCCTGCCCCTCTCAGGTTTGGAACAGAGAGGCACCCACAGCAGGCACCTGCTGGCCGCCTCTTCAGTAGAGCCCCCAAGGAGCAGCAGCTGAACTGCAGGTGAGCGAGGCCGGAGGAGCCTGGGCTGCTCCTTGCCATTCAGGATGTGGCTTCCTGCTCTCCTCATGCCCTGGTGCCTCACTTCTCACACAGGAAGACTGGGCCTGGCTGGGCGACCCCATGCCTGTCCCTGGAGCCCAGGCCATTGCCTACCCACTGTGCAGCCAGGGATGCCCGCAGGCCCCTGCCCCCCATGGCTCTGTGCTGCTCACTTCATGGGCTGAACTCTCCACTGTGCTCAGTCCCTACAGGAAAGCTCGGGTGGGGTTTGTCTGAGGGTCCACCATCCTGCCCACTCCCTGCCTGGCTCATGCCTGCCAGCGTTGTGCCATGCCTGTCCACAGGGGATTTGTGCTGTCCCCTTCTTCAAAGTTTGAGGTCCAAATAAAACATTGAAGTGACTGAGGACCTTGGCTTTGTGTGCTTTGTGCTAGGGCCTGTAGCAGTGCACGGGGCCTGCTCTGTCCTTCTGTGTTCAGCTGCATTTCCTGCTGGGGTCCTGGTTCCTCAGGAGGAAAGGGAGGAACCCCAAGGTGAGAGAGGGCCGGGAACAGCAAGGACGCTGGTTGGTTGGGGAAGTGGGGGCCAGAATCAATGATACGGGGGTTCGAGGAGTACAGGGAGGCCAGACAGCATGAGGCCTCCCAGGCCCCAGAAAGGCCATGGCTTTTACCCCCAGCTCTTGTGACAGTAGGTTCTTGGCGGGTTTGGAGCCAGGGTATGGCAGGAAGTGATGTGGCTTTGAAGGGTCCTCTGGCTGCTGAGCTGGGATGAGGCAGGCAAGGGTGGAGCAGGGAGGCTGGCGAGGAAGCTGGAGCAATCACTGAGTGACCCCAGAGAGCAGACTTACCTCATGTTGGGGCTGACGTGGGGTCCACCGAGGGGAGAGTCTGAGAATGCTCAGGTGAGGATGGAGTCCTCAGAGACTGCTGGGCACAGCTGTGTGTGCTGGAGACAGAAAAGGCTATGAGTGCAGTGAGTAGGGGGTGACGGGGACCAGCTTTTGGGCCTCCCCAGCCAGAGCAGCCCAGCAACAGTGTCTCTTGTGGCTTAAAGCTCTAGGGACCTCTATCCTGAGGCCTGTGTGGAGGGAGCTGCCATATCACCCACCAGATTGGTCCTGCGGGGTTGCTGGCTTCTGTAGAGACTGCCCCGGGGGCCAAGTGGCACAAATGAGAGAGGGGAGATGGGGCTCTGCCAGGAGAGAAAGTGCCCTTTCCTCACCCAGACTCAGTGCTTCTCTCTGGCCTTTTTCGAGGCCTATGAGTGCCTCAGGAACAAGCCGGGTCCTCTGGTGAGGCTGTGGTCAGCTCAGGAACGCACTGCCTGTATCTGCTGTCCTTCCTAGCTGCCTTACTTTTCCCCTGTCTTTCTTGAAGTTTCACTCCCAAATAAAACTCTTCACTTTGACTCAGAGGCTGTTGAGGGCATCCAGGCCAGTGGAACTGAAATTCAAGGAAAGGTTCTAGCTCAAGCTAGTGTTCCAGAGCTGTTGACACACAGACCAGAAGAGTCAGCACAGAGGGAGGAGAGACCCCCCCCCAACCACCACCAGGGTCAAGCCCTGGGCTCCTAAGGCTCACAGGTTACAGAGGAGAGGCCCATGAGGTAGGAGGAGCACCAGGAGGGAGGAGGATCTCCAGGTGGGGTGCAATGGCTCACATCTGTAATCCCAGCACTTTGGAAAGCCAAGGTGGGCAGGTCACTTAAGGTCAGGAGTTAGAGCACAGCCTGGCAAAACCAAAATTAAAAATATTTTTTAAAATTAGCCAGGCACGGTGGCATGCCTGTAATCCCAGCCACTCCAGAGGCTGAGGCAGAAGCATCACTTGAGCCTCTGAGGCAAAGGTTGTGCAGTCTTGAGCCAAGATTGAGCCACTGCACTCCAGCCTGGGTGACAGTGCAACTCTGTCTCAAAAGAAAAACTGAGCTGACAGCAGCATCAGACTTGCCCTTGGGATTGGCACGGAGAGGTCAGTGGCAGCCTTGAGTTTAGGTGGTGGTGGGAGCTGATTCTGCCGGGTCTCAGAGGGAGAGAGGAGGGGTGGTGCAGGCAGAGAATAGAAGACTCAAGCTTGCTGCTCATAACTGCGGGCAGCTGGAGGGGAGGGAGGTGGGGTCAATAGTGTGGCTTTTTAGGAGAAAGTGTAGCATGTCTGCGTGCTGATGTAAAAAGGAAAATGAATGACAGAGGGGAGGCCTGGGGCCAGTGGGTGAGACAGTCGGGATCAGACGCACAGTAGATGGATTTGAAATCCAGTGAGTGGCGCCTCTGGCAACAGCTGCTCTGCCCGACTGTGCCCAGCCTGACTGAAGAAAGAGCTCCACACCAGAACCAATGGGCTCCAGGGGGGCTGGGCAAGGCGGCACCATGTACACCAGGTTGTCGTAGCAGGCAGGTGGGCTGTTTACCTGTCTGAAGAACAGGGTGGTAACAGACTCTGCCTCCACAGGTGACGCACCTGGTGGTGTAAATGCTCAGTCAGTGCAGACATCTCAATGCTCTAGACAGAAACCTAAGAGTCATCTGAACTTCCAGCCCAGCAGGAACATGAGGGGAGGGACCCTGTTGCACCCAGGGCTGGGGTCTGGAGGGGACCCAGCAGGGCACAGGACAGCCAGGCACTGACCCCATCCAACTGCTGGTCTCTGATGCCTCTCCCTGCCCTCGATTCCAGACTAGGTGCTGCAAGTGCCCTAGGGAGACCCAGAAGTAGGGAGGGCATTGGGAGCGCCAGCACCTGGCCACGGGCAAGGAGCAGACACATAAAAACCAACACTCTCATTGGCGATGGCCACGGTGGTCCTCCTCATCCCTCAACAGGTGCTCCTGGGGTGGAGGCCTTTCTTGCCACCAGACTCTCCCAGCCCAAGGCTAGAACCTGCTGAAGGACCAGCTAGAGCACTGTGGGGGGCCATGGGAAAGATCCCAGTTGCCCATCTGGTCTTCCTGGGACCAGGGCCAGGGAGCCAGTCCCCTCTCCCGACGGTTGGGAGAAGATGCTGGAGCCCGTGGACCTCCTACTCCTTCATTTTCTCACCCAAGGGCCCTTCGCAGAGGAGCGGGTTCCTTTTCCTGTCTGTCCTCCCGGCTATGGCAAAGTCTGCACCCAGCGCCCTTGCCCCCTTACTCCGGGGACCTGGTTGGCGGGTTCCTGAGGATGGTCTCGATCTCAAGATCCCGGCAGGCAGGTGCGGGTGGGGGATGGGAGGTGGGCGCGGCGGAGAGAGAGGACGGCCCTGGCCCCGCGCGCGTGGACCCAGTGAGGGGCACGGGCTCGGCCCCGCCCCGTCCCGCGCGCCCCCGCAACTGCCGGCGCGCGCTCCCGGGAGGCGGCGACGGCTGCAGCGTCGGTAGCATCAGCATCCGCGGCAGTGGCCTCGGGCGGGGCTGGACGGACGGACAGGCGGACAGAGGGCGCCGGGGGCGCGCATCCCGCCCGGGCCGGCCATGGAGGGCGCCTCCTTCGGTGCGGGCCGTGCGGGGGCCGCCCTGGACCCCGTGAGCTTTGCGCGGCGGCCCCAGACACTGCTCCGGGTCGCGTCCTGGGTGAGTGGCCCCTGCGCGGGCCCCCGCCCCCGCCCCTGCCTCACGACCCTCATGCCCCTACCCGCCCCCTGACCCCTGCTTCTCACCCCCAACCTCTCTCTCATCCTTGCCGGCCCCTCCCCCGCCGGCCTCAGGTTGGGGTGACGTCACCGGACAGGGCGCGCCCACCTGCGGGCGGGGGAGGGGCCGGCGGCGACGGAGAGGGACCTTGAGAGGTCACCGCCGGTGGCCCCTACCCCTGCCTCCTCCCCGGGTCTAATTCCAGTCCCTTTCCGCAGCCCTTACTCCGTTTTTCCTGTTCTCGTGACCTGGAAGCAGGCTCTGGGTGGGGACGGGATTCACCGAGGGGCAGAAGGAGGGGGCTACGGGAACCGAGAGAGATGGGGCAGCGCCTCCCCTTTACCCTGCACGCACACCCTCCGGGCTCCTTGGCAGGGAGCCTGTCCCTCGGCCCCCAGGTCCAGCTGTGAGTTGAAGGAGGAGAGGTTTGGGCTGGGAGGGCTTCATGGCGGTGGTGTGGGAGGCAGGTTTGGGGCAGCCTAGGCCACTGGGGTGTCTCTGGGACGGCCCTGCTGCCCCTTCCTGCCCTCTGGCAGGGGAGGTAGCAAGTAGGTGGCGGAGCTCTGGGTTTTGTCCAGGTGGTGACCTCGGCGCGTATCCTGGATGAGGGCGGTGCCCACGGTGAGGCAGGGGGCTTTGGTCTCCCCTTCGGAGTGGCTCTGACCAGACCGGGAGGCAGGGCGCTGCGTTCCAGTATGAGCTCATGTCCCGACTTGTGGCCCACTCCTGGGGGACAAGTGCATGTCCTGGCTTCCTCCTCGCCTTGGTCTCTCGGAGCTGGAGCGGGAAAAGATCGAAGGGATGAGGTTGAGGCTGGAATTCTTTTCTTGGAAACACAGGGCTGCCCCCTACAGCGCTGGTTAAAATGACTGCCTTCCCCACCCCTCCGCTGCCTGCCTCCCGGGACTGGTCTGCAGGAGGCACTGAGGTTTGACTGAATCCCAGAGGTCAACGGTGTCATCCTTTCAGCCCAAACACTTAGGGGCGTTATTAATAATCAGTCACGTGGGGACCGTCATGACTCAGGTGCCCACCACGTGCAGAAAACTGGGTGGACGTCTCTGTCCCAGAACTCCAGTTTTGTCCGTCACCCTATTTGCATTGCTAGAAAAAGGCCAGACAGCTCGCAACCGCGCAGGGAGCAACAGCCCCGCTGCCCCCATGCCCTCCTCCCGCCCCGCTCTGCCCGCTCCACTCCTACCTCCAGTTTGCCCTGCCGGCGCCAGCCTGGGAATCATGGGCCCAGGTGAAGGCTCCTGTTCCCACACTCTTGGGTGGGCTCTGAGGGGACATCACGGGCCCATGCGGTGCCCCGGCTTTTGTCACCCTTGCATTCCCGGACACTTCCCCTTTGGAGCCCTTATGTCCCCATTTATAAAGAGGGTGAGAACGATGGAGAGACCCCATGGGGACCTTCTGATGATTCGGTGAGGGAACGCATGTAAAGTGGCGGTTTAGGACAATGCCTGGGCACAGCATATGCTCACTAAACGGTCCGCGTCGTCAACAATTACTGAATACGCGAGGGTTTGGGAAAGGAAGAGGTGACCACGCCCCCCACCCAGATACCGGCCTGGGAACGCAGGGACAGGCCCGGGGGCGTGGGCGCTCCCGGTGGGCGACGCAGAGGTCGGGTCGCCGCAGGGCCCTGAGCACCGCGCCGCCCGCAGGTGTTCTCCATCGCCGTCTTCGGGCCCATCGTCAACGAGGGCTACGTGAACACCGACAGCGGCCCGGAGCTGCGCTGCGTGTTCAACGGGAACGCGGGCGCCTGCCGCTTCGGCGTCGCGCTGGGCCTCGGAGCCTTCCTCGCCTGCGCCGCCTTCCTGCTGCTCGACGTGCGCTTCCAGCAGATCAGCAGCGTCCGCGACCGCCGGCGCGCGGTGCTGCTAGACCTGGGCTTCTCAGGTGGGCGAGGCGGGAACCGGGAGCGGGAGGCTGGGGCGGGGCCTGAGGCGGCGAGCGGCAATGGGCCTTCCGGGTGGGCGGGGCCTGGGCGGGGCGGGCCGCTGGCGTTCCTAGGTGGGCGGAGCCTGAGACGGCGAGAGTCCGTGGGCCTCCCGGGTGGGCGGGGAGGGGGCGGGGCCTGGGTGGGGAGCGCCACTGGAGCTGCTGGTGGGCGGGGCCTGCTGCAAGGAGCGGCAATGGCCCTCCCGGGTGGGCGGGGAGAGGGCGGGGTCTGGACGGGGAGCGCCGAGGGACTTCCTAGGTGGGCGGGGGCGGGGCCTGGGCGCGGAACGCCGCTGGCGCTCTGGGGAGGGAGGCGGGGCCTCCAGCCGCGTGCCCGCCGACCCCTCCTCTTCCGGGAGAGGCCGCAGTGGGCCCCTTGTGGGCCGCCGCCTTGACCGTCCGCGCCGCCCGCAGGACTCTGGTCTTTCTTGTGGTTTGTGGGCTTCTGCTTCCTCACAAATCAGTGGCAGCGCACGGCGCCCGGGCCGGCCACAACGCAGGCGGGAGACGCGGCGCGGGCCGCCATCGCCTTCAGCTTCTTTTCCATCCTCAGCTGGGTGAGTGCGGGGCCTGGGGGGACCGGGCGAAGGGGCGGGGCGCTCGACTGACCCTGGCTGACCCCGCCCCCGCGCAGGTGGCGCTCACGGTGAAGGCCTTGCAGCGGTTCCGCCTGGGAACAGACATGTCGCTCTTCGCCACCGAACAGCTGAGCGCCGGGGCGGGCCAGGCCTACCCCGGCTATCCGGTGGGCAGTGGCGTGGAGGGCACCGAGACCTACCAGAGCCCGCCCTTCACCGAGACCCTGGACACCAGCCCCAAAGGGTATCAGGTGCCCGCCTACTAGTGGCTGGCAGGCACAGACCAGGGCTCCAAGGCCACCCCACCAACGCTGGCCCCAAGGTCTCTGGGACCTCCCTTGGGTCCTTCCAGCTCAGTGCCAGGGACAGAGTGGGTGGCCGCTTTGGGCCATTCGGGGCCAAGAGGGGGTGGCCCCTCGAGTGCCTGGGCTGTCCCCTGCCGAGTTACCCCAGTCCCTCAGCACCTGGCCCCAGGCCTGAGGTCCTGAGAAGGGGATAGCACCGTCCAGGACGTGTGTCCCAAGCCTCGAATGGACTGGCCTGGGGGAGCATTCCCCTCTTGGGCCAGCCACCCTGCGGCTCACCTGCCCACTCCGGGGTCAGAGGTCCAGCTGCCCTCTACGATCAGGTGCAGGCGCTGCCCAGGACAAAGCAGGTGCAGGGCAAAGACACCACCCTCGCCCCGAGGCTGGGGCTCCTTGCCACTGTTCCCATCCCATGTCCCTGTGGGTAGTGACTGTCTTGCTTTTGTCATGGTGGTACGTCCTGTCTGGAGCGGCTCTCCACTCTCTCTCACAGGCTCATAGAACAGCCCGGCCCTGTCAGTGTTGTGATCGTGGTCCTGTCTTTGGGTTTCACCTCCTAGTGCCCCACAAGCCACTCCTCTGTCTGTGGCCCTGACCCCTGCCCAGGTGTGGGTGGTTCTGGCTAGGAAGGCACAAGGTAGCTGCAGGCCTGGGCACCCGTCCTGTCTAGGCCCTTCAGTAAGACCTTGTCAGGGGAGGTGAAGGACACCTGGGTGCCAGGCAAGACAGGCCCCTCAGCAGGAGAGAGGCCCAGAGGCTCCAGCTGGCCACTGTGCCCCAGGAGACGGCCCCTGCGGTTCCCTTTACCTTGGCTTCCTGGACCAGTCCCTGCCTCTCCACCTGCACCCCACTTCCTGGCCCAGTCCCAGGTTGGAGTCCCTCTGCGTAGCTGCCTACTCATGCGTTGCTCAAAGCTGGCTTTTCACATTAAGTCAACAACAAACATGGTTGCCACATTTCATCAAACAGACAGACACCTCCCTCTGGAGTTGCAGTTGAGTGACAACCTCGTTACATTGTAGCCTAGACCAATTCTGTGTGGATATTTAAGTGAAATGTTTACAATTTTTGTATATATCGCGCGCTCTCTCTCCCTCTCCTGAAAGACCAGAGATGGTGTATTTTCAGTGTCCCGTGTTCTGACTGCACCTTCTTTACAATAAAGAGTGTAACTCAGTTGACTGTGACTTGGACACTCCTGGAATCATTTCTCCGCCTGCTCTTCCTGGTGCCAGGGATTGGGATCTAAGAGGCACCAGGGTCCACAGGAGGGACAGGAAGGTAGAGGCCAAGCTGACCCCCAGGCTCTGGGGGCCCCAGGTCCATAGGTCCCCACCGCCACGTATCACACTAATCTGGTTCTCTGGAGAGACCCCTTGCTTTTTTTTTTTTTTTTGAGAAGGAGGCTCGCTCTGTTGTCCAAGCTGGAGTGCAGTGGCACAATCTCCACTCACTGCAGCCTCCGCCTCCCAGCTTCAACTACCTCAGCCTCTGGAGTAGCTGGGATTACAGGCACGCGCCACCACACCCAGCTAATTTTTATATTTTTAGTAGAGACAGAGTTTTGTCATATTGGCCAGCCTGGTCTCAAACTTCAGACCTCAAGTGATCTGCCCACCTTGGTCTCCTAAAGTGCTAGGATTATAGACGTGAGCCACAGCCTCCTCTGGCCTGTTTTTCGTTTGTTGAGTGAAAAACAAAAACAAAAGCAAAAAAACAAAAAACCAGATGCCCAGGCTGGAGTGTGGTGGCGAAATCTTGGCTCACTTCAACCTCTAGCAGGCTGCGACATCTACCTTCCGGGCTCATGTGACTCTCCCTGCTCAGCCTCCTGAGTAGCTGGAACCACAGGCATGTGCCATCATGCCCAGTTAATTTTAAAGCATTTTGTAGAAATGGAGTCTCCTTATGTTGCTTAGGCTGGTCTTGAACTCCTGAGATCAAGTGATCTTCCCATCTTAGCCTCCCAAAGTGCTGGGATTTCAGGCGTCCGTCCCTGCTAATTTCACTCTGAATGTCCTGGCACTCTGTGACGCTGATGAGTGACGGTACCATATGCGTTGTTTATAAGTTATCTTTTCTATTTGATAACGATCTTTAGGGTTCCCTTCTGTAAATCCTTACCTAGACAAGAATTTTTTGTCATTGATCATGCTTGGTCCTTGATGGTTTGTTTTACCCCTCTTGATGTTGAGGAGAGCAGTCACTATTCCATGTCCTCTTCTCTGCACCTTCTGTTCCTGGGACTCCTGTGAGATTTACTGTGCAGCCTCCAGAGCTGGGTCCCTATTTCGTGGCCACACCCCTTCCCCATCTCTCACAGGTACCTTTTGCAGTTACCTCCTGGGGAGATTTCCTCAGCTTGATGGTGTTTACTTTTCAACCTATCTGTATTGGGATTTTTGTCTCAATCACTTTTTATTCCTAGGATTTGTTTTTTTTTTTTTTTTTGAGACGGAGTTTCGCTCTTTTTACTCAGGCTGGAGGGCAATGGTGCCATCTCGGCTCACCGCAACCTCCGCCTCCTGGGTTCAGGCGATTCTCCCGCCTCAGCCTCCCGAGTAGCTGGGACTACAGGCACGCTCCACCATGCCCAGCTGATTTTTTGTATTTTTAGTAGAGACGGGGTTTCACCATGTTGACCAGGATGGTCTCGATCTCTTGACCTCGTGATCCACCCGCCTTGGCCTCCCAAAGTGCTGGGATTATAGGCGTGAACCACCGCGCCTGGCCAACCAGGGGCTCTTTATTATTTTGTGTGGAGATGGGGGGTCTCCCTATTTTCCCAGGCTAGTCTCAGACTCCTGGCCTCAAACAGTCCACCCACCTGAGCCTCCTAAAGTGCTGGGATTACAGGCGTGAGCCACCGTGCCCGGCCAAAAAAGGCTATTTTCAATAACCTTAGGGAAACAGCCCATTTCCCAGACTGCTCTACTCTACTGTGGGGCTGGAACCTGCCATTGCCTGCAAAGTGGGCATCAGCTGTGAGGTGTGTCTGGTGTGAGGGGAATGCAGGTGGCATCTATCCAGCCTCTTGTCTCCTAGCTGGCCCCAGGATGGCCATCACCCAGGGGACACCACTTGAGTCCCACTGTCCAAGTCCCCAGCTTCAGGGGGGCAGTGCTAATGCCACCACATGCTCTGGCCCAGCCCCTCTGCAGGCCACTGACTTTGGCCCTTCATCAACACGAGATCCCTTTCTGCTTACTTCAGAAAAATATTTCTACGTATTCTTGGCCTTAAATATGGCTACGTTTAGAGCTTTTTTCCTACTTACATGTGCTGGAAGCAGAAAGGTGGTTATCGTATGTGTCTGGTCTCCCTCCAAAAACCCTAGATCCAGATAATTAAGCCGCAGTATTTCAGGTGTCCCCTCCACCCTATTTCTAAATTTGGCTTTAGGGTGTCCTTGGAAGACAGAGAAGCTCAGAACACCAGTTATGTGCAGTATTGCAAAATAAATTTATTTGAAGATAAACTGTCTTATAAAAGGTCAGAGGCAATTTGAGATGCCAGATTCAGCTTGTCTCATAAAAAGATTCAACTTCAAGTAGCACAATTTCGTGTCTGCTTTTAATCCCTAACATTCTTGAAATACGAAACAGCCAACTGTTTATACAACACACATCTGTGACATCTGACTCTGGCACCAGTGCAGCCGTAGCTTCAGGAGGGCCTGGATCAGGCCACCACGGCCTCTGGCTCTGACAGCAGCAGCAGGCCTTCCCTCCCCTGGCGCCTCCCAAAAGCACAAGAATGCAGGCCAAGACTGGCCCACCAGGGAGGCAGGGGTGGACTTCCATCTGCCACCAGGGTGGGTGGACCATCCTGGCAATTCCCTGGTGGGCCTGGCCAACCAAGAGGCCGGAGCAGGCAGCCTCACCACTGCCTTACCTGGCTGCCTGGCAGCCCGGAGAGGATGGAAGGAGGAAGGACGTTCGCGGTGCAGTAGCTCCGGCCACGCTAGAGGGAGCTACGTGATGATCCTGGCGATGGCTTGCAGGGAGGGGAAGTCATCGTCCCGGACAGCATGCAGCTCCTGGTGGCTGCTGACGTCCCCGTGCGCAAGCACCTGCTGGCACGTGGGGCACACACGGCAGTCCAGGCCCGTCTGCTGGGTGGTGGCTTGCCACGCGCTCTTCTTGTTCTTTTTGGACTTGGTGCTGGGAGGCTTCTCGCGGCTGCAGAAGTCCATGTGTGCAGACAGAAGCTCCTGCTGCTTGGCCGTGTCAGGCAGCAGGACTAGCAGCTCATTGAAGACCTTCTGGAAATTCTCCCCCAGCAGGTCCCGGCAACTCTTGTAATACTGGGCTGCGGAGATCAGGCCCTGCTGCCCGATAGCTGGACTCAGTCATCCCTGGATGAAGACGGGCTATCCACCCCTCCCGGCCAACCTGACCCATCTCAACTCCCCAGGCCCGCCTGACCTGTCTGAACTCCCCTGAGTGGCTCTTGAACTCGCTGAATCGGGCCTCATCACTCTGCAAGAAGTCCCTGATGGACTGGATGAGCTGCAGGTTCCTCTCCCGGAAGTTCTCGGGGACTAGGTAGGCCCGCGGAGCAGGCGTTGGCCTGGGTCTGGGGGTCAGGAGGTGAAGAGGAGGTGGAGGTTTCAACCTTTAGGGTGGCCCAAGGGGAGGGTACCCTCCTCCAGCCCCCAGTGGATGCCAGGCAACCCCCCCTACACTTACGCTTTCGTGGTGGTGGCGGCGGCGGGGCTGGGGACACAGGCCGGGTGGGGGCTAGGCAGGAGGCCAGAGAAGCCGGGTGGCGGCTTGCTGACAGGGGGCACCAGGCCTGGCGGGGGTGGGGGAGGCGTGCTCTTCAGGAGCACCACAGCACTGAAGCCTGAGGGGTGGCAGGGCAACACCCAGAGCCCTCGCTGAGTGAGGGTTGCCCAGCCTCCGGGGACAGCTTCTGTCCACAGCCATTCTCATGGTGTGGCAGGCCCAGCCCACGTGAGCTCATGCACCCTCAGTCCCAGCGAGTGCCAGGAGGGCCGATCTCACCGAGGCAAGGGATGCAAGGCAGTTAAGGGAATGCTGTAGGTCACGTGGGTGGCCAATGGCAGTGCACAGGGGTTACCAACACCCAGCTGCAGGCTGTGCCTGTTGCTCCATCCTGATCCCAGCCCCTCCCAATGCCCATAGAGCAGGCCTGAGCCAGCACACGTACCTGGGGGTGGTGGCATCCGGGGCGGGCAGGGGCCACCAAGCGCTGGGAAGTCTTCCTGTGGGCAAGGGAAGGAACCCAGGGGCCTCGGGAGCCCTGGCGGTTCCTTGGGGACACTCCGAGCTGGGGTTGGGCCCTCTGTGTGTCCATTAACGACGATGGCAACTGGCCCCTCGGCTCCGGTGGCAGGAGCTTCCGGGGCCTGTGCAGGCCCTGGGGGACAGCTAGGAGGCGGGGGCTGTGGCAAGGCAGTGCTGGGCTTTTCCGAACCCACTTTCTTCTTCTTGCCAACCTTAGAGGGCTGAGTGGAGGCTGGCCGCAGCGCGGAGATGGAGCCCATGGGGCGTGTGCCTCGAGGCTCCTGTGCGGCCGGGCTGCCACCGTCCTCCTCCTCTGTAAGGGGCAGGCCGCCCTTCCTGCCGCCCCTGTTCCCCTTCCCAGCCTTCCTGGGGGGTTGGCCGCTGCTGGCAGCCTGTGCTGAGGGTGGGGGCTGCACTACCTTCTTGCTGCTGCTGCTGTTCCAGGCAGAAACAAGGCTGGTGGGGGTGGTGCCAGGCTTGGGCGCTGAGGACACCAGGGCGGGGAAGTCCTCCTCCTGGAAGGCACTCCTGCTCCTGGCAGGGATGGCATATGGCAGCGCCAACCCCACAGAGGCCAGGGTTGCTGCAGTGGAGCAGGAGGAGGAAGTGGAGGCGGACAGGCTGGGGAAGTCTTCGTCCTTGAGCTTTGGGCTGGGTGGTGGGAGGGGGCTGGGCACAGGGAAGGGAGCTGGTCAGCGGCTATCAGGCTCTGTGGCTCCACACCTGCCATCCTAGCACCCACCTGTGGCTGCCCGCACCCACCTGCCCATGCACCATTCACCCATGGGCACCCACACCCTCACCCTGGCCCCCACACACACCCTGCGGTGGCTGGGCCTGTCACCGGGAAGGTCTCTTGGCTTACAGGACCGTTTGTCGAGGTTTCCTTGGGGCCTATGAGAAACACAAAGCCCCTAGGTCAGGGTGTGGGGACAAGCCCTCTGGGGACTGGGAGCACACGGTACTCTTCGACCTCCCAAGTAAAGATCCCGGGTACCAAGCTTAAGAGCTGGCCACTGGCCTTCTGGTGTGGGCAGAGCTACCCCCAGGTAGGGCTGACTCACCTGGGCCTTCGCCTGGAGTCCGGAGTGGGTGCCGGGGCCCACGGGGCTCCTCGGGACCCCGAACCGCTGCCTCCTCCTTCTTGAGCCGGCCACCTTCCTCCCGGTCCTCGCTCCTGCGTGCTTCCTCCTGCTGCTGCGCGGCCACAGAGGCCCGGACTGCAGCTGCCACTTCCCGGTCCTCTTCTTCCCTGGGACAAGGAGGCCAGCCTTCAGGCTGAGCATGGGCAGTGCCTGGGCCCAGCGTGGGGCAGTATCTGGGGTCTGATGCCCTGCAGAGCCTGCCAGGCCAGTGCTTCCTTGGACAGCTGCTGTGACCGCCCAATTGCCAAAGGCCCATTTCACCCACACCAACCCTGGCATCTGCAGCTGGAACTGGAAGGAAGACGAAGAAACTTCTGTGCGCAAGACACTGAGGAGACCCTGTTGCCACTCAGGACCCCAGAATCTCTGGCCACAATCCCTGACTGCATCCTTGCTCCCAGCTTGGCCACTGGCCACGGTCACCACAGAAGAATGTCAGCGGCATACAAGGCCCCCCACCTTTTGTACCTCCAGCTTCCTCGGCGGCTCTGCTGGGCTCCACGGGTGCCAGCCCGGGCCGCTCGGCCCTGGCGGCTGTACCTGTCCACTTCCTCGTAGTCCTCGCCACCGACGACCCCTGCGGCCAGCAGACAGCCTGTCATGTCCCGGGACCCCAGGACAACAGCAGGAGGGACAGGCCTGCCGTCAAGGCCACACCTGGCCAATGCTCAGGCCTGGGCAGCAGAGGCTTGCCCACCCACAGTGCACATGAGACCGAGGGATGGCACAGGTGCCTTGCAGGGTCCACGCTGGCCACGGTCCTCAACGACCTAGGTGCTGAGTTACAGGAACGGGGGAAGGGAAGGGAGAGGAGTAGGGCCCCTAGTCCCTGGTCATCTCTGCAGGTGCTCAGTACAAGCCTCCTGGTCCAGGGAAAGGCCCCAGGCACCCAGGGCAGTAGATCTGAGACTCTGAGGGAGGAAGTGCTCCTGGCACACACGGGGTGCTCAGGGGCTCCAGCCTGGCCAGAGGGTGGGAGGTCACGTCCCACATCTGCAGCTTGGTCTGAGGCTCCAGAGCAGGGCGTGGTCACACAGCCGCACCCCGGGGGTGTCCAGGGTAGGCGTCTGCTCACCCTCGTTCCGACGCGAGTGCCGAGGCGCATAGCTGAACTGCAGGTCGATCTGGCGGTTCTGGCGCGCCTCGGCACGGCTGCGGCTGTGGCAGGCCGTCCTGTGGGCCTTGAGGTCGATCTCCGTGCGGAAGGCGTGAGTGAACTGCTCTGTGCTGCAGCGGCCCTCCTCACACAGGAAGTGCTTCTCGCGGAAGTGCTCGCGCAGGTAGGCGTAGTCGCTGGCAGGAGATGGGGTGTGAGGAGGAGTGCTGCAGCCTGGCCGGGGAGGGAGGGCACCTACCTGTGCGCTGCCCCGCCCACCTGTAGTAGTCCTGGGCGCCGTCGGAGTCGCAGAAGTGGCAGAAGTAGTGGTCGCGGCGCAGGTGCTTGAGCAGCTCGTCGTTGTCCAGGTAGCGCTCGTCGCAGAACTTGCAGAGCGGGTGCCCGCGGTGCGACGTGTCGTCGGGGTCCCCCTGCATGCGATGCCGGGCCAGGTCCTTTCGGGAGTACCACTTGCGCTCGTATGTGAAGATCTGCAGAGCACAGGGGGCTGGGCACGGGCTGGGAGACCCAGGCCTCCCACCTCTTCCCACGGGCCAGCATCGGAGCAGCAGGGGCTAAGAGACGGCCCCGCCAGAGGCCCCCTGCCACATGCAGCCTGACCCTCGCGGGCGCCATCCAGGGCCAGAGGCAGCAGGTGGCCAAGCCCCTCCCCGCTGTGTGGCCGCATCCCCTGCACCACCCACCACCTGGGCTCTCTCTGGGGTCTCCGGGGAGCACACCTGGAGGTGCTGGAGGCACAGCCGGCAGCAGAAGAGCTCATGCTGCTTCCGCATGTGCTGCTCCAGGTCCCCGAAGAGGCTGAAGGGCGGCAGCTCGGGGCACCGCGGGCACTCATGCTGCAGCAGCTGCCTAGGGAGACACCGAGAGCCGCCCACGGTCCCAGGACATTCAGTGTCACCGCTGGAAGTGGGGCCACTTACCAGGCCCCAGGCCCATGACCCAGGCCAGACGCAAGACCACGGGTGGGCTGGAGTCTGTGACCCAGGAGACCATGGCTGAGCCTGTGCATGGCCTGGGTCAGAAGCCTGGCTCTAGCCCTGAGCCCATGAGCTGCCCCTCCCCTGGGAGACCAGCCCTGGGACGGCTATGCCCTTTACTGGGTTTTCAGGCCACAGGCCTGGCTCACACAAGCTCGTGTGCCCCTCAAGGAGCCCCCGAGGCAGGTGCTGTGCCACCTGAGCATGTCTTCCCCCAGCGCACCTGCCAGCTCTACCCCCAGGAGGACCTGGTGAGCGTCCCCAGTCACAGGAACCTGGGTGCCTGGCCCCAGTATCGATGCAACATGCGGCCCCCAAAGTGCCTCCAGTTGTGAGGAGAGGGGGAGGTGGAGGGCCAGACACGGGGAGGCCAGGAGCCAGGGAGAGAACCTGCTCACCTATACAATGCATACACCTTTCCATCTGCAAAGTAGATATCGTATTTCTTCTCATACTGCAGCTGGTGGATAGGAATGGTGGCGAAGGCAGGAAGCTTCTTCCCAAAGACCACCTAAAGCCAAAGACCAGAGGGGTGGTGAGCAGGGCTGGGATGGGACCCCCACCTGGGATGCCACAGAGGTTCAGAGGCAAGGGAGCCCTCACAGCCCCTCTAAGTAGAAGGGAGGTAGGAGCCCTCCGGGGAGGCCCCAGCAGACAGTGGCAGACAGTGGCCAGGGGCAGAGCACAGAGACACAATGCCCAGCCTCTCCACCAGGGGGCAGCCAGGCCAGTCCCAAAGTGGCCTTGCCCCACCGGCCGGGGCCCTCAACCGGCGGCTCTACCCTTCTGGGAACAGAGCAGCTGTCACTGCGTTGCTTTCCTGGACAGAAAAGAGATGCATTCCAAGCAGATGCTGAGAGAATACCAATCGCAGCCAGCCGGGGATGCATCAGGTGACAAGGCCCAGCTACCCTGTCTGACGCCCCCACACCCACGTTTCCGTGGAGCCTCCATGGCCAAAGGCTCAAGCCAGCCACCTCAGCTCCAGGCGGACACAGCAGGCATTGCAAAGCCTCTGCAAGAGCCCCTTCCCAGGGGTCTCGGGACCTGCAGAGCTGGCTGTGGGAGGACCTGCCTCTGTCTGCCCTGTGCCTCCAGATGGCCCAGGTGCCCTCGCTCAGCTCAGCACTCCTGCTCTCCACAGAGCCCTGCTGGCAAGGACCCTCAGTGCCCCCACACCTGTGGAGACAGGTGCCACCCCACCTCTTGGGTTGGTCAGGCCTCCTTCTGGCTCTGCCACTGTCCCAAGCCTGGCACTGGTCACGTGCCTCGGCTCAGGGCCCTGAGAGCAGCTCGAGGTCTCACGGGCACATCCATGGTAGGGGGACGTCCTCACCTTGGGAAGGATCACACTAAGGTCATGTTACATTTAGCTTTAGCCAAAGAGGACGTCGGGCCAGAACGGCCGTGAAGTTGGGAAACCTGAGGCCTGGCAGGGAGATCCAGTCCCACCCGTGCTTGGGGTCGGGGGGCCCTGGGGTGATCTCTGTCCCCAGAGCAGGTAGTTAAAGCTGGCTCCCTGGGAGGGTCAGGAGCACCAGGAGAGCTCAGCCTCCACTTCTGCCATGACAGGCTGCTGTGCTGTGAGGAGTCAGCTCTGCGAGGGCGGGGTGGGCAGTTGGAGCTGCAGGGACAGCAGCCCAGACCTTTCCTGCCCTTGTCACATCAGGCAAGGCTGGGCAGGATGAACTAGGCCACCTCTTTGTCCCCATCACACGCTGGGCTTAGATGGGCATCGCATCACAGCTGCCTCCCACGCCTTCAGATGGAGTTGCAGCCCCACCCCAGAGCCCCATTACAGAGTCTCTCACTGTGGGCCACACCACCCTGATCTGTCCCCCAGCTCTCCTTCTTCTGAGCAGCATCTCAGCACACCCCAAACATGGGGAAAGGCCCCAGGCCCTGTGCGGCCTCTTTTCACAGCAGCTACCCTTGGGGCAGCTGACACCCAGCCCTGCCTTCTAGTCCCAAGGGAGCCTCTCCAGCCTGACCCTCATGGGTGCACTCTGCAGAGCCACTCGGTGCTGCCAGAATGCAGAGTATGAGCCTCCTAGGGGAGCTGAGTGCCGGGACTCCCGGGAACCAGACGGGCCACTCCCCCGCCACAGCTCCTGAAGTAGCACGGGCGGGCGAGGAAGCCAGCGTCTGGCTGTGAGGGAAGCCCCCGAGACTGCCAAAAAGCAGCCAAGCCCGTCAGACTCCGAGGAGACACAACTTCCTTCCCTAGAGGAAACCCATGCCAGGGGCGCCCCAGCCCTGCCTCCCCACATTGGCACCCCTCCCTTCAGCCGCACGCTATCCACCCTGGGTGGCAACCCCTCAGGCTGCGGGCACGGGGCATCCCAGGCACCCCTAACATGCAGCCAACCTCCACTTGTGCATCTTCAGAGTGCTGCCCCTGTTTGGGCACAGTGCCAGGCCCCGCTGAGGAGCACGTAGACTCCTCTGTCCTTGCTGCCTGGAGGCACCCACGCCCCATTCGATAGCAAGTCTTGAGAAACCTGTGTGGGATGGCAATGGTGGGGCTGGCGGACTTGGTCAAGGGAGCCTCTCTGAAGCCAGGGAGCAGCTGGAGGCAGAGGACCCGCCCCTAGCAGAGGGTGAGGAGGGGGCTGGACAAGACTGTGCCCGTGCCCTACAGCATGGTGGCCAGGCTGGAGTCAGGCACAGTCCACCGAGGAGCCAACCAGCAAGACCCTCACAGCCTGGTAGCACATCAGCACAGCCAGGCTGACAGTAGGGGACATGGAGGCCAGGGAAGATGGCTGGGAGTAGGGGACTTGAGAGCTGGGGGGAAATGGCTTGGAGTGGGATTTAGTGGCTGGTGGGAGATGGCCGGGGTGGGATATGGGGGCCGGGGGAGATGGCTGGGCTGGGACTGCACAGGGAGGCAACAGCTCTAGGTCACCCCTAGAGAGAGGGAGAGGGTTGTACGTCTGAGAACAGAAATACAGAAACCATGGGGAGAAACTTGGGGATGGGCTAGACAGCCAACGATGGGGGAAGGGTGCCCCATGTGAACCCTGGAGGTGGCCAGGTCGGGCCTCAGAGAGAATGAGGAGCAGATGGGAGAGGCCTGCTCAGGAACAGGAGGCCCCCCGGTCCCCCACAGGGACAGTGTGGTGTCTGCCTGGGGCCTTGCTGCCCCACACCCCCCAACATGCCATAGGCACACAAAAGGACAGCTGTAAGGGCTGGCAGAGTGAGTTGGCAGTGACAGCCTGCCCACACGTGGGGAAGGGTACCCTGGGGATGGCTCCCAGGGCCATCTAGAGAGCCTAGACCTCCAAGGAGCCCAGATGGGGACAGCAGCAGGGAGCATCTTACAGAGAGGGCCAGGGCCACTGGGGATAGGGAGGGGACAGCAGGAGTAGGGAAGCATGACCCAAGCTAGCAGGTCACCCTCCTGACCTGGGCCCTTGGGTGGCTGTAGGTTGCCCTAGGGGGCCCAAAGCCCCATCAGGTCTCCCGTAGTAACACCAGGGACCAGTGTAAGCTGGAGAACAAGACGCAAACAGCAGGAACCAGCCGTTAAGAAAGATGTGGCCAGAAAAGAGGCCCAGAACCTGGGGCTCTACCACCCCAGGGGCTCGGTCAGCCATGGCTGAGACCGGTGCCCCCACCTCCCACAGAGGGGAACCAGCCTCAACTTCCACCCTAAGCGCCTGCCAGGGGTTGGGCCAATCTGGCTCTTCGCCTGAGCAATAGTCGTGGCCTCTGCCGGGACGGCCTGGGTCCAGGTGTGTGGAACTAACAAGCACATGGAGTCGGCCAATTCCACAGGGCGTCCTGGACACTTTCCTTCCGATTTTCACAAAGCCTCAGTCCCGTAAGGAAGGCCAAGGCAACGCCGGGATTCAGGAGTTGAGGGCTGCAGCGGAAATTCCTGAGCTCGCGTGGGACACAGAACACACTCGGGATGATGCCGAGGAAAAAAGAGGCTAGTCCAAGATGGGAAGGAAAACAGGAGGAATGCAAAGCAGAGGGGAGCAGCCAACAGCAAACCTCCCAGAACCCCTCCTTCAGCCCAGCAAGGTGGGGACAGGTCTGGGAGGAAGCTGAGGCTCAGCTGAGGGCACCCAGTGCCAAACCACACCCCAGCTGACAGCTCCTGTCAACAGCCCGGAGCCACAGAGTCCTGGAGGGTGTGGGGCCTGCCAGGAATGACAGTGGGCAGAAGCTGCTAGAGTAAGCATATGTAGATGTTCACTCAGGTCTTGCATCAGACCTGCAGCCTGCCCGGAACCTCACGTGCCAACGGCTCCTTAGCATCTCCTTTCCTGAGGGAAGCTACAGGTGTGCTGGGAAACCCGGCTGTTGGAGTGACATCATGCTCTGCAGGCCTGGCCGGCAAGCCAGGCTCTGGCAAAGCCAGGAAGCGCCCTCTGAGTAAGCCACCGGCTAAGTTCCTCTGACTGTTCCTGCAGCCCAGATCTCCCCTGGGTCTGGGTCTGCCTCTTTCTGTCACATGACTGACAGCATCTCCAAATGTCTTTTTCCAAAAAGGGCACAGGGTAGATGCCCACAAATTGCTCAGAGAATAGCAGCATCTCTCCAGCTCCTTTGACGTAATGTCTACTTTCAAAAAAGAAAGAAGAGGAAAAAAGGACAGAAAGAATCTATCCCTCAATACCGCTCTGCATCACTTCTAGGAAAAGGAAAGTTAGAATCCTGGCAGCTGTCACCAGCCGAAGCCGTCTATGAACAAACCGGGAGAATTTCACAATGCTGGAAGCAAACATATCTCTAAGCTCAGCAAACCAAGGGGCTCCAGCCAGGTGCCCACAGCCAGCAGCAGGCAGTGCAGGGAGGGTAGGGGAACACTACATGGTACCCTCTGACCCCTCTAGGGCTTCCAAGTCTGGACAGTCAAAAACGCCTCCCATTCACTTTAGAGACGAAGTCAAAGGAGGCTGCGAGGAGGAGGAGGAGGACTTCCCAACACTTTTCTCCCTTCCCGCCAAGAACCGGGAGGAGACCTTCCCCTCCGGTAAGTGGGTGTCCTTCCGAGACTGGTGTCATCTCCACTCCACAGAGGAAAACATTAGTCTTGGACGTTTGCTCAGGGTCACCCAATGAGGGCCCAGAAACAGCTGGGCTGAGAATTCCCAGGGTTTGACGCTCTGCTTCCAGGGCGGATGGCATCCGGAGGATCCCCTTGCCTTGTTTCCTCCACCTGAATGGAGGCCCCTGGGAGATAAACTCCCGAAGACGAGCAGGGCACAGAGTTCTCCATCTGATCAGGCCCCCTTCCTGTGGCCCGGCAGGAATCCCAGGGACGTGGGGCAAGTCCCCAGGCTGTCCCCCACGGGGCATGCTCGCTCTCCAACCCGCTCGGCCGCCTCCTGCCTCCCAGCCCCAACGCCCCGCAGTCAGCCATACGGCCGGGACTCCGCCCCGGGTGGCCCTCAGGCCTGTCTCGGAAGCCCGCGCCCGTGGCCGGACGGTAGGGAGGCAAAGTCCCCTTCCGGCCGCCAGGAGCCCCGCCGCCCCCGAGCCGATCCCCCCGGCGTCCCGCACCTGGCGCAGCTCCTCCCGGCACACGGCGCAGTAGCGCTGCTCACAGAGCACCCGCATCTTGGTGGAGCAGCGGTAGCACACCGGGTGGTCGCAGCGGCCCAGCGCCGTGGCCTCCAGTTCGCCGCAGCACAGCACGCAGCTCCCTCCGCCCCGCTCGGGTGCCGCCGCCGCCGCCGCCTCCAGGGCCGCACGCCGCCCCTCGGTACCAGCCGCCGCCGCCGCCATGGTCCGGACTCCGGCCCCCTCCCGGCCGGCGCGGCGCCGCGCGGCCTGGCTCCCGGCGGGCCCGCCCCTTCCGGGCTAACGTCAGCGCCCCGCCCAGCAACGGACCCGCCTGGCGGAAGTGCGCGTCGCGACTTCCGCCCCAACGAGGCGCCGGCTAGAGCGGGGTCCTGGGCCGTGGCCGCTCTAGCCCGAGCCGGCCACTCGGAAGTGCGCGCCGCCCGCTTGGCCGGGCTGTCCCTGGTTCCCCTGGGCCACGCGTGTCGTAATGTCAACCCTCGCTGGGCTCCACGGACTGGCGTTGCCAGATGCAACACGGGACACGCGGTTTGAATCTCAGCTGAACAAGGAGTCGTGTCTTAGTGTAACTATAGCCCAAATATCGATGGGCTAGACTCATACTGAAATGCTGCTCCCTGTTTACCTGAAATTCACGTTTAACTGGACGTGCTGTATTTGCGTTTGCTAACTCTGGCCAGCTTATTGATTGGGAAGCCAACCTCTGGTATTTGGAACACGCAGAAGCCTGGTCCCGCCTCCATTTCCCTAACGCCCTGTTCAAATCCCTGCGTGAAAGACAACACGAAAGGCGGCGCGGTGATGTCCATCTCCCCGCCCAGGGCAGTCTTGCCAGTCCTGCCGAGGAGGGGCCTCTAGAAGGCAGGAACAGAACGTGTCCTCTACGCTGGGCCCAGCACAGGGTGTGTTTGTATGGATGCTGCTGTACAGGGCCTCCTCCCTACCCTTGGGGGCCAGGCACACTCAGGACCTTCCTCCCTCTGCCATCCAGAAGGCTGGTCCAGATCTGAACCCTTCTAGAAAAAAGGCAGCATACTGTAGAAGAGGCCTGAACTTTACTTATTTGAGACAGGGTCTTGCTCTAGCTGGAACGCAGTGGTGCAGTCACAGCTCACTGAGGCCTCACCCTCCTGGGCCCAAGTGATCCAAGCCCAGTGAGCTTAGACTTTAGAAACAGACAGAAATGGGCTTGAAGCCCCAGTTTCTCCACTCACTGAAAAGGGCTGCAGGGCACAGTGGCTCAAGCCTGTAATTCCAGCACTTTGGGAGGCTGGGGTGGCCTGGTTGCTGGCCAGAGTTTAGCTGGCCAACATAATCAGGCCCTGTCTCTACCAAAAAAATGTTTAGGCCAGGTGTGGTGGCTCACACCTGTAATCCCAGCACTTTGGGAGGCTGAGTCGGGCAGATCACCAGGTCAAGAGATCGAGACCATCCTGGCCAGCATGGTGAAACCCCATCTCTCCTAAAAATACAAAAAATTAGCCAGGTGTGGTGCCTTGCACCTGTAATTCCAGCTATTCGGGAGGCTGAGGAAGGAGAATCGCTTAAACCTGAACGTTGGATGTTGTAGGGAGCTGAGATAGTGCCACTCCAGCCTAGCAACTGAGCAAGACTCCATCTCAAAAAAAAGGAAATAAGAAATTGTAGGCCAGATGTGGTGGCTCACACTTATAATCCCAGTACTTTGAGAGGCCAAGGCAGGCAGATTACCTGAGGTCAGGACTTCAAGACCAGCCTGACCTACATGAAGAAACCTCATATCTACTAAAAAAAAAAAAAAACAAAAAAAAATTAGGCATGGTGGTGCATAACTGTAATTCCAGCTACTTGGGAGGCTGAGGGAGGAGAATTGCTTGAACCAGGCCAGGGTTGCTGAGATCGTGCAAATCACGAGGTCAGAAGTTCAAGACCAGCCTCGCCAATATGGCGAAACCCCAACTCTACTAAAAATACAAAACTTAGCTGGACGTGCTGGCGCAGGAGGCTGAGGCAGAAGAATCTCTTGAACCTGCAAGGCAGAGGTTGCAGTGAGCTGAGATTGCACCACTGCACTCCAGCCTGGGCAATACAGAGAGATTCCTTCTCAAAAAAAAAAAAAGAGAGAGAGCGAAAAGACCATTTTCTAAGCTTAAATCCCAGCAGTGGGCTGGGCGCGGTGGCTCACTCCTGTAATCCCAGCACTTTGAGAAGACCAGGTGGGCTGATCATGAGGTCAAGAGGTCGAGACCATCCTGGCCAACAAGGTGAAACACCATCTCTACTAAAAATACAAAAGTTAGCTGGGTGTGGTGGTGAAGGCCTGTATTCCCACTACTTGAGAGGCTGAAGCAAGAGAATTTCTTGAACCCGGAGGCGGAGGTTGCAGTGAGCCAAGATCCCAGCACAACACTCCAGGCTGGGTGACAGAGAGAGACTCCATCTCAAAAAAAAAAAAGCCCAGGCTGCTGTGTCACTCCCCCTACGCCTCCCAAAGTGTTGGGATTGCAAACATGAGCCACCATGCCACACCTGGCCAATAATTTTAAAGATGACAAAACAGATTTGCTCATTCATCTCCTCCTTACCAGGGAGTTCCTGTTCGGGGCCAGGCTTCGTACCTGTGGCAGGCAGGTGCCTGCGTTGAGCAGTGGCTCCGTGCAGTGGTGTGATCTCAGCTCACTGGGGCCTCTGCCTCCTGGGTTCAAGGGATTCTCCTGTCTCAGCCTCCTGTGTAGCTGACACTACAGTTACCTGCCACCATGCCCGGCTAATTTTTGTACTTTTAGTAGAGATGGGGTTTCACCATGTTGGCCAGACTAGTCTCAAACTCCTGACCTCAGGTGATCCGCCCACCTTGGCATCCCAAAGTGCTGGGATTACAGGTGTGAGCCACCTTGCCCAGCCCACTGCTGGGGTTTAAGCTCAGAAAATGGCAGCACACGGAACCTACCGTGCTGCAGGGAGATTTTTCCTTTGCACGCCATTGCATTTTTGAGATGTGTCTGTGCTGTCACAGCTCTCCTTCTGTTTTCTGTCGCAGGGACTTCCATCCCACATTAGACTTTCGTTGATCAGTTTCCGCAGTTCCCCCTGCAGAAGCTACCCGGGCCACCTCCAGGGGGCATCCTGGACCCTCTCTGGACTGGGCTACAGTTCCCCAGGGCTCCAGGGACGCCCACGTCACCTTACCGGGGAGCGGGTGGCAGCACCAAGGGACCCTGATGGGGCCTGGCTCTGGCTTGTATCGTGCTGTGTTGCCCGCCCACCACACACTCCAGGCATCTCTCAAGGACAAGGGGCCCTGGGGGAGCGTGGCGAGGACAGCTTCTTGCAGGGCCTCTGGTCCCTGCGGTCCTCCAGGTGGTGCAGACAGCTCCATCTGCATCCCCCATTCTGCCCCCGTCACAGTGTTTCCTGACAGGCTGGGGGTGGTCATCCCCTGGCACAGCAAGGCTAGATCCTAGCCACAGCGTTTATTGAGTGCCCACTAGGTACCAGGCATGGCTCAGTTCCCAGAACCACCTCTGAATTATCAATGTCAACAAGATGAAGTGGCCACTGTTTCTACCCCATTTACAGATGAGGAAACTGAGGCCGGAGAGGCCGAAAACTTTATCCTCTTGTCCTCAGCTGCGACTGTCAAGCTGGGCTGGCATCACACCATGCCCCGAACAGGGAGGGCCTTTGTGAGGAGGGCTGCTGCTTCTAAACCTCCTCAGGCTCACTAGAGCCCCCGGGCCCCTCACGCCTCAGGAGTCGGCCCCTAGCCCTTCCGTTTTTGTTTGTTTATTTGTTTTTTTGGGATGGAGTCTTGCTCTGTCGCCCAGGCTGGAGTGCAGTGGCGCCATCCTGGCTCACTGCAACCTCTTCCTCCCAAGTTCAAATGATTTCCCTGCCTCAGCTTCCCGAGTAGCTGGGACTGCAGGTGTGTACCATCACGCCCGGCTAAGTTTTGTATTGGCCAGGCTGGTTTTGAGCTCCTGGCCTCAAGCAATCCACCCACCTTGGCCTCCTAAAGTGCTGAGATTACAGGCATGAGCCACCGTGCCCAACCTGCCCCCAGCCCTTCTGTGCCCTTCTGGACCGGGGTACCCTGTTCCCCAAGCTGAGGCTCCTGGGCTCACGAGCTAGCATGTATCTCGCCTCCACCATTTACCCAACATGATCTGGGGCAGGTAACGTCTCCCTGGGCCTCAGTTTCCTCGTTGGGGAATGGAGTCAATAATAGTTCCCATCCATGGCGCTGCCTGGAGGTCCAGTTGAGATGGTTCATGGTGACTCGAAACAAGGTTTCTAGTGTCTGGGACCCAGGGGCTGCCCCATGACTGCTGTGGTCACTGAGGGAGGGCTGGATTCACCTTTGCCAGGTGGTCCGGAAGGAGTCCTCTGCCCTCTGGGAGGGGCTGTTTTTTTGTGTGAGACAGAGTATTCCATGATCTCAGCTCAGACCTCCGCCTCCCAGGTTTAAGCACTTTCCCTGCCTCAGCCTCCTGAGTATCTGGGACTACAGGCATGTGCCACCACACCCAGCTAGTGTTTTTGAGATGGAGTTTCACCATGTTGTCCAGGATGGTCTCCAACTCCTGACCTCAGGGGATCTGCCCACCTCAGCCTCCCAAAGTGCTGGGAATACAGGCATGAGCCACATCGCCTGGTTGAGAGGGGGCTGGTAAGCCCAGGTGGGCATAGAGGGATATTCTGGGGAACTGTCTGGCCCTGTGCCTTTTTTTTTTTTTTTTTTTGAGACAGAGCCTCGCTCTATTGCCCAGGCTGGAGTGCAGTGGCAGAATCTTGGCTCACTGCAACCTCTGCCTCCCGGATTCAAGTGATTCTCCTGTCTCAGCATCTCAAGTAGCTGGGATTACAGCTGCTCACCACCACACACAACTCATTTTTAAAATTTTCAGTAGAGATGGGGTTTCACCATGTTGGTCAGGCTGGTCTTGAACTCTGGTGATCCACCTGCCCCAGCCTCCCAAAATGCTGGAATTACAGGCATGAGCCACCGCCCCTGGCCAAGGACCTGGGCCATTTAGTGGAATCCTGGAGGATGTATAGGAGTTAGCCAGGCTGAGAGAGAGAGAACGATACTCTAGGCCCAGATGCACAGAGGCAGGCAAAGCCACAGGCTGTTGGTTCAGACAAAAATTGAGACTGGCTGGAGAAAGTTCTCTGGGGGGACCATACCCAGGGACGAGGCTCTGGAAGTCTGTAAGGTCTTGTCCTGCCCCTTCAGAGTTAGAAGTTCATGAAGAGGTTGACTCTTTCTCCTGGAGGCCTCGGAGAAGCAGAGACCTCAGGGTTAGCTTGGTGTGGCCAACATGAGGCTTCTAAGCCTCCATTCAGCTCTGCTGGGAGATGGATTGGTGGAGAGAAGCAGGCGATGGCAGAAGACAGGACAGGATGTGGGGACAGTTTTGGGAGCTGTGCTAGGCATGGACAAGGGACAACTCTTGCAGGGAAGACCCCAGAGGGGTCTTGAATGGTGCTGAGGGTGCCCGGTAACCCTCCTGTGATAGCGACTGTAGCTCTGCGGGTCCCTGGGTATTTGCTCTGCTGGCGCCCGCCTGCAGGAGCTCTGGCTAAAGGGGCATCCCTCACCCCTACTACCTCATCAGTGGCTTCTGAGGCCCATGGTCCCAGGACCCCCTCCCTGGCACTTCCACTCCTGGGGGGAGGAGGCTGAGCAGGTAGAAAAGGGGACATGGCCCCCTAGGGGAGCCTCGAGTCCAGTTCCAACCAGCAGCCTACTCAGTGAGGTGTTCGGGAACCCGTGTCCTCCGCCAGCTGCCGGGGTTCCCTCTCCTCCCTCTGTCCCTCCCCCCATCTGGGGAGCTCAGCGGGTACCGCAGGGGCGGACCGAGGCGGGGCCACCGAGCAGTTAAAGCTGGACCCGCAGGGGACCCACGGCTCGCCTCTAGCCTCCTGCCTCCTGCCTCCTGGGCCCCGGTACCCGACGTCCCAACTCCGCTGTGCGCCCAAACCCAACCGAGTCGGTTCGTGGCCCGCCCCGCAGGGCGGCCGTCGACTCGAGCGCCCTGGCGCCGGGCCGGGGGGTGCGGGAGGCTCCCGCGAGCCGGCTGCGGCTGGCACTGCCGCTGCTCCTGCTCCTGCTGCCGCTGCCCGCCAGCGCCTGGTACAAGCACGTGGCGAGTCCCCGCTATCACACGGTGGGCCGCGCCGCCGGCCTGCTCATGGGGCTGCGCCGCTCACCCTACCTGTGGCGCCGCGCGCTGCACCCGGCCGCCGAGACCCTGGCCAGGGACATGCTCTCCCCGGGGCCGTCGGCCCGCGAGGCTCCTCTCCTGCCGCCCTCGTGGGTTCAGGAGCTGTGGGAGGCGCGACGGAGGAGCTCCGAGGCAGGGATCCCCGTCCGTGCGCCCGGGAGCCCGCGCGCCCCGGAGCCTGCACTGGAACCGGAGACCCTGGACTTCGGCGGAGCCGGCCAGGTACGTGAGAGGGGAGGAGGCCTGGACCATCGCGGGCAAGGGGGTCTCGGGAGGTCTGAGCCAGAGCACCGAGCGCGTTTAGGAGGCACCCTCGGGCCCTTTCATCCCCCGCTCCGCTCTCACAAAGGCTTTCCTGGGACAGGCTCCACCCTGGCACCCGGGGGCGGCGGTGGGGTGCGCACGGCCCCCTCCCCACGGCCTTGCTCTGTTCTCGCTAGAGACTTCGGAGAGACGTCTCCCGCCCAGCCGTGGTCCCCGCAGCAAACCGCCTTGGTTGGCCCTGCCTGGCCCCCGAACCGTCCTGACAGCGACCCCACGACCCCCCGCGCCTCCGCGCCTGACCCAGGAGGAGTTGCTGCGGCTTCCAGGCGCTGCTCATAGCCCCGGCCTGCTGTCCGGTCAATAAAATCCGCCTGACTCCTGCGCCCCCGCGTAGGACCCCTTCGTCTGCCTGTGTACTTTGCCGTCTAGCTCAGGGACCAGACAGGCTCGCCCACGCCCTGGCAAATGTCAGTGGCCCCTCCCTCGCCGACCAGGGGAAGCGCCAGGCACTCGGCATTCATTTCAAACCGGGATCTCCCGGCACCCCCTCCCTCCCTCCCTCAGCCAAAGTCTTCCGCAGAGGATTAAGACCCCCTGGTTCCCTTCTTGTGGGCCATGCTCCCCTGCTATGGAGGAGTGGCCCCTCCACCTGAGCCCCCTTGCTTCCTCAGGAGCTCCTCTACATCTTGTCACCCTCTGCATGCACTTTTGGTCACTGGCTCCAGCCCCCCACATAAACGTGCCCTGCCATTTTGAACAGCGAGGGCCTCCCTCCACCCTTGCCCCCTCCACCTACCCTCCCAAGGATCTGGGCCCCTCCTCCCTCCCACTCCCTTTTCAACCCTCTGTAATCTGGCTTGGGACTCCAAGGACTGTCCTGGACTCCAAACCACCGAGGTCACTTGCCCTGATGCAGCCCACCCTTGGAGGCCTCCCATGGCCATCTGGCTGGGTTCTCCCAGCAAAGACTAAGGGAGGGGTGGTCCTGGGCCTGGCTTCAGGATGCCCCATGGAACTAGCTCCCCACCCCTGCTTCTGGAAGCCCTGCCCACTCACTGGTAGGGCCTTTCCATCTCTGAGGTGTGTCCTTCTCCCAAATTTTTTTTTTTTTTTGAGACAGAGTTTCACTTTTGTTACCCAGGCTGGAGTGCAGTGGCGCAATTTCGGCTCACTGCAACCTCTCCCTCGTGGATTCAAGCAATTCTTCCGTCTCAGCCTCCTGAGTAGCTGGGACCACAGGCACATGACACCATGCCTAGCTAATTTTTGTGGTTTTTTTTTAGTAGAGATAGGGTTTCAGAGTGTTGGCCAGGCTGGTCTTGAACTCCTGACCTCAGGTAATCCGCCCATCTTGGCCTCCTAAAGTGCTGAGATTACAGGCGTGAGCCACAGCACCCGGCGCACCAGCCAATTCTTATGTATCCATTGGTTCCATCTAGCCCTCCTTCAGGCTCTGTGCTGGGTGAAAAGGTGGTCACACACCCCACAGGGTAACCCATTCTCCTTGCTGCGAGCTCATTCCTTCCCACTCCTGCCCCTGTTCCTCACCAAACCTGACCTCTAAGAACATGGATGTCCTGACCTTGTCACCCCCCACACCACGTCTCAAGGGCTCCTCACTGCCTATGAGACAATACTGGTGTTCTGGCAGGGTGAGCCCTGTCTGCTGTCCCCACCCCTCCCACTACCCCCTCCTCGTCCGCACCACCTGCTCCTGACTGCAGGTTCCAGGACAGCATGGGAGCTCCCTCCCTGAAGAAGGATTCCAGGACCACAGGCTGGGTTAAATGTCCTTCCTGAGGCTGCTTCAGCTCTCGCCTCTCGTTGCACAGGCCAAGATGCTCAAAGCGCTGTTTTTGTGGGGTTTCAGCGATGTTCCCTGGTGCTCGTCAGGTCCAAGATAAGGAGGCAAAACCGACTACAGGCTCCTCTGCCTCCCCCACTCCACACCTTATTCGTCTGCAGCGCCCCAGCCCTAGGGCGCCAGCCTCACTCCAGTTCCCACCCCGCAGGACCGGATCGAAAGGAAGTCAGAGGGGCGGGGGACCTGGGGCAATTCCTCAGGACAATGCAATGCCAGCAGTTCCTGCCAGATGGCGCTGCGTGGCCGTGGTTCCGGGAGGCAGCCCCCCACCGACCCACGCCCAGCAATGGGCGGGGCTAAAGCCGCAGTGGGCGGGACCACAGTGGGTGGGCGGGGCCTCCCCGTCCCAGGCTGTGGTTTCCTCCACCTCCTCTCTCTTGGGTCGTCGCAGCCCCGCTTCTCTCTCCCTCTCGCGTCTGGGTCTCAGTTGGTCACCTTCTCCTGTCGCGCTCGTCCCTCCTGCTCCAGTTTCGGAATCTAAAGAGAGGCGCGGTGCAGTCTGAAGGGAGAGGCCCTAGGCGCGGTCCGGTTATGCTTGAGGGGCCATTAATGTCCATTCCATTAGGAAGCCACGCCTGCCTGAGCAGCTCTGGGCCATTACCGGGGCGTCGGAATAGCGGCCCTACCCCCAGACAGGGCCCCAGACCACGGCCACACCACATAGCCCACGTCCAGACCCAGGCTCGGGCTCCCTGAGATCGCTGGGGCCTTGCTGGAGAGATGCGGGTTCAAGGCCGGGAAGAAAGGTCCTGCGGCAACAGGAGCGCAGGGGCAGCCCCCCACCCGGGTGGACCCCCCACCCACAGCGCAGGGGCAGCCCCCACCCGGGTGGACCCCCCCCACCCACAGCGCAGGGGCAGCCCCCACCCGGGTGGACCCCCCACCCACAGCGCGGGGGGCAGCCCCCACCCGGGTGGACCCCCCACCCACAGCGCGGGGGCAGCCCCCACCCGGGTGGACCCCCCCACCCACAGCGCGGGGGCAGCCCCCACCCGGGTGGACCCCCCTACCCACAGCGCGGGGGCAGCCCCCACCCGGGTGGACCCCCCTACCCACAGCTCGGGGGCAGCCCCCACCCGGGTGGACCCCCCCTACCCACAGCGCAGCGGCGAGGGCCGAGACCTGCTCTCCCTCTGCTGGACAGGACTAGTGCCTGGGTAGCATGCTGGGGACAAGGGGGTTGGGTGGGGAGGGGGTATCTCCCAAGCCTCCGATTGCCCTGACTTGACTTTCTTCCCTGCTGCTGCTGCCGCCCTGCAGTGCCCTCGTCACCCCACATGAACCCTGCAGAACTAGCAAAAGAAAGTCCACCCTCCTCTCGGTGCTGACCCTACTCCCTCCCACCCACCTCCCTAGTCCTTTTCTTCTTTTTCTTTCTTTTTTTTTTTTTTTTTTTGAGATGGAGTCTCAAAAAATGCAGTGGTGAGATCTTGGCACCACTCTGACTCTGTGCTGGGTGAGAAGGTGGTCATACACTCCACAGTGTAACCAAGGTTGCCCTGGGAGGCAACCTCTGCCTCCCAGGTTCAAGCGATTCTCCTGCCTCAGCCTGCCGAGTAGCTGGGACTACAGGTGCGCACCACCACGCCCAGCTAATTTTTTGTATTTTTTAGTACAGACAGGGTTTCACTGTGTTAGCCAGGATGGTCTCGATCTTCTTGACCCCGTGATCCACCTGCCTCAACCCTCCAAAGTACTGGGGTTACAGGTGTGAGCCACGGCTCCCAGCCTTCGTAGCCCTTTCGTTGAAACTCCAAGCACCTGACAGCCCCTAAACACCTTTGCCCAGGCTCTTCCCTTCGCCTTCCTCTGCCTCTAGCTCTAGCGCAGCGCCCGTGAGGGCTGAGGTCAGCCTGGGAGCAGGGCTGAGAGCTTCCGGGGGCTGGCTGGAGAAGAGGCCTGGGAGGATTCCCCGCCCCCCCCCACCCAGAGCTGCTGAGTCACCCTTCCTCTCCTGTTCCTCCAGGCCCCCCGGACTCATTGTTGCCTCTCAAGGACTCTGCACCTCATCTGAAATTGTGACCTCCAGTTCCTCTCTGACTGCCTCAACTCATCCCGCTGCCCGCTGCCCGCTGCCCCTTTGCCAGGCCCACTTCCTTTGTTGCCCTGCCCTTTGCAACTCTGTTACCTTCCTCAGCCCTTCTCAGCTCCTTCTTGGCTTTGGGGACTCCTTTTGTTACTTTGTAGTGGCAGTGTGTCCAGTGATACTTCCTTGGTTCCTGGCCCCGGTTGTGACCTCCCATCCCTGGTGGCCCTTCCCTCCATCGCACTGCTCCCTATCCTATCTTTTTAAAAATCATTATTAGGCCGGGCGCGGTGGCTCAAGCCTGTAATCCCAGCACTTTGGGAGGCCGAGGCGGGTGGATCACGAGGTCAAGAGGTCGAGACCCTCCTGGTCAACATGGTGAAACCCCGTCTCTACTAAAAATCAAAAAATTAGCTGGGCATGGTGGTGCGTGCCTGTAATCCCAGCTACTCGGGAGGCTGAGGCAGGAGAATTGCCTGAACCCAGGAGGCGGAGGTTGTGGTGAGCCTAGATGGCGCCATTGCACTCCAGCCTGGGTAACGAGCCAAACTCCGTCTCAAAAAAAAAAAAAAAAAAAATCATTCTTATTATTTGAGATGGAGTCTCACTCTGTCTTCCAGGCTGGAGTGCAGTAGCATGATCTTGGCTCACCGTAACCTCCACCTCCTGGTGCAAGTGATTCTCATGTCTCAGTGTCCTGAGTAGCTGGGATTACAGGCACCCACCAACCCACCTGGCTAATTTTTGTATTTTTAGTAGAGATGGGGTTTCACCATGTTTGCCAGGCTGACCTCGAACCCCTGACGTCAGGTGATCCACCCGCCTCCGCCTCCCAAAGTTCTGGAATTGCGGGTAAGAACCACCGCACCAGCCTTGGGTTTTTTTGTTTGTTTGTTTTTCTGAGAGTCTCGCTGTCACCGAGGCTGGAGTCCAGTGGCACCATCTTGACTCACTGCAACCTCTGCCTCCTGGGTTCAAGTGATTCTTCTGCCTCAACCTCCCTAGTAGCTGGAATTACAGGTGTGTGCCACCATGGCTAAATTTTTTTGTCTTTTTAGTAGAGATGGGGTTTTGCCATGTTGGCCAGGCTGGTCTTGAACTCTTGACCTTAGGTGATCCACTTGCCTCAGCCTCCCAAAGTGCTGGGATTACAGGTGTGAGCCACTGCTCCCAGCCCCCCATCCCATCTTCAGTCACTGGGAGGAGGAATCAGCTGAGTCCTGGGCCAGGGAAGGCTGATGTATGCCCGAGGCTGATCAGGAGTCTGCCCCAGCTAGGGGGAAAGGTCTGCAAGCCCCCTTACCCCCACTCCTTACCCTGCTGGGGGCTCCCATCCAGCCACCTTCCTGACTCTGGTGTGGCCTTGAAGCTACAGCCTGTCAGGTTTTGGGTGGCCCTGGTTGATGTGGGATGACCCCCTAAGCCCCACCAGCAGTGGTGTGTGGGGTGCGTGGTGGCTCACACTGCCCACAGCCACCCTCACAGGCTCCAAGGGTGGCAGCACCAGGCTGT